GGGAATTCCATTAGGATCTGCAGCGCTCTATCGTGTAGAACAGAAGCCGGAATGCAATATTGAGTCGAGCCAATGACGTAATTCTTGAGGCGGCGATTCCAGAACTCGTTTCACGAAGAGACGGAGAGTCTCGGCCGGGGAAAAACCGTCGGATTGTCCGTGAGTAAAACTTGTTCCTAGTTTCGGAACTCCCGAGACTCCGTACTCGATCGAACTTCAACGAAGATCCCCGTCCGTGAATTGTCGACATGTGTTCGCTTGAAACCTTGCGTCTCGCACAGGAAAATTATTGTCGGAGTGAGTTGGTAACTGATGACTCAGGGTACCACCCGTGGATAGCGATTGTCAGTGGCGGGGATAACGTTCCCTTTCCAAGACTGTTTGGACTCGTGCGCTTCTCAGTCGAGCTGTCACGGAAAAAGAAAGAAAAGAGAAAGAAGCGCCTCCCTATGAGCGAACGGAAATAATTGTTCTTTCAGACTTGGGCCAGAATTGTTTGGTCACGGCGAGAACACACCGATGCGATTCGTCGCAGCGGAGTTGAGTGTATACCGAAATCCGGATTCTCGGTTAAACTCCCTTTCTCGCGAGAGACTGCTGCTTCCCTGAAGATGAATGGGACACGATAGAATCAGGAAGTCAGGAAAGTTTCATGCGAATCACTACACCCGAAATAATCGGCATCCAGACGATTTCGAAATCGTACGTGGAATCGAGGTCCCGGTGGTGAACCTTCAATCTTTCTTCGATCTAACAGCTGTCAAGCGCATGGGAGAATGGCCTCATAAATGCGCTTGAAACAAGAAATGAATTGTATCCGGACGTGAGCAGTTTCTGAACAATCATTAGCTCGCTCGCTCCCTTGCCTGCTCGCAGGCAGTCTACGTAACTAAGGTTTGCATGTGTTTTTGCCAACCCTGACACCGTTGTCGCGCTTCGTAGACTATGGGCCTTCGCCGGCGGCCCTCGGTTAGCTGGTAGGCCTGACGACACGCGGTTATGGACTGCGTTCAATTGATAAAGATCATGAGTTACTGTTTGTCAATTCTGAACCGAGGCTCGAGCTATTTTTGCATCATGCTAATAGCTGTGACCCTTGTAGCTCGTTGCTTCGATGCCAAATCAAATGTGACAGCTTATCGCCCGTCATTAGTGTGGGGCTCCAATCTCCGTTATCGCACGAGGCCTGTCCCTCAAAAAAACTGCATCGTGTCTGAGAACTCGACCAGACTGATTCCTCAGGTTTCGAATGGACTAAGTGAGCCTTCACTGACTAATGTGTTATATATTTGAGGGTGGGCTCAAGCAATGAGCGAACATAGGAGCTGACACGCGATCGGATCGAAGGACGACGGTCTGACATAGATTTCGTATTGTTCATATTCCCCCTGCAGCAGCCTATTTCGGGACAAATGACGATCACTTCTGATGGCATATGATTACTGTGTCCATGGATGGGTGTCCATTACGATGCCTGAGAAAGACGGCTCGCTCATATCGGGACCCTACGCGGAACTTTTGAAAATCACGGTGTTGGAGCCAAGCTACCTCACGGCCTGATTGTAGAGAGAAATATTTGTGAGCTCATTCTTCGCCACCCGGAACTCATCGCGAAGGGCGGCAGTGCAATTCATACAAATCTGAATGGGGAATGGCAACATCTAACTTCATTTTGAAGCTGAACATCTCTTCAAACACGGATGGGCGATCGCAGCAGTCAGACCGTCCGCAATCGGACGAACTGAGCGGAAAGTCTGGGGACCGCGACGGGGTAAAACTCCAAATTGACTCGGGATCCGCTCCCCGTCTTCATCTGAACGGCGATATTGTGAATATACTATCGCATGGGTATCACCCATGCTCCAGAGAGGAACTAAACCCATATTCTTCGGTCTGCATGAAGCTGAAATCACTCGGATGGATCCATCGCAGTCAATCCCTGGCATATATCCGCGGCCATGGCAGAGGTGATCATCAACACATTCGAAGAGCCCATGAGGATTTTTTTTTGATCGTTCGATGGACTGGACGCGATCTCGATGAACATCTGAGAATTCGCTCACACCGAGCCTCAAATCCGGGGAATTTGACGCTCAAACGCAGTGGTGACTCTTCCCGTAGCAGAAATCGTCCCATTGCGAAAAACAGCGAGCGTAGCCGAGGCGTCAAATTAACGGCACAATGCCGCCATGAGCGTATTGTACCAGCTTAATCCGACGTTCTTCCAAATCTGATAGCCGAAAGCTCAATCTGATGTCCCGATACGGCGGCGGCCGCGACATGGAACGAGTCACGCAATTATGCCATGGGCTTTGCGACGCTATATTCCAATGACACTTCCAGTGCGCCGCCGCTGAGTAAAGAGCTCGATCTGGTCAATAACGTGATGAAATCGAGCTGAGCACAATCGTTTGAGCCAGTCTTCGCAAGGGCGATCCGTTCGAACCTCGATGAATTCAAAATGTCTGGAACTAATTCGTGCTCGATTATTTCTGGCTCCATCCGAGCAGAGAATTTCGGAAATTCCCACAAGGGATCCCCGCCGGGGACGCACGTTATAGCCTTTTTTCTTCCTTCCCCGCCCTTATAGGCTTCGAAACCTAGGAGTGACATGGGTGCTCCGGAGCAGGATAGATTTTCGCGTGCGGTTCCGCGAGCGGACTCATTGGCAACAATAATTGATGATCAGCGGAGCCGAGCAGCTAAAGCGGGTCTCGAGACACGGAGATTGTCGAGAAAGAAGGCGTCTCTCACTAGAAAATACTGTCCGTGTACTCCTCGGAGCTCTCTGTCCTTTAATCGCCAGTCCTTAGACCTCAGCTGATATGAGTAACGCGAAATGCCGATCGAAGGCACAGGCGACTGTTCTGTACCCGCGTCCGCACCATTCGACAGCGCCCGGAAGAAGATGTTTCGGCAGAAATGGAAGTCGTAAACGAAGTCAAGCGCCCGAACGGAGTCGCATTAATATCATCGATGATTTTATCTTTCCTAGAAGAAAAGTGCAGGCGACATGCGACCAAGGAGCGAACAACACCAACATCTGAGAGAAAAACGTCGATGGCGGCTGCGGCAACGACACCACAATTCGTAGACAGGCGGAACTTGCGGAAACAGAGACGATAACAGCCCCGCAAACCATCGAGATAAATGTACCGGGAGAGGAATGCATAAGAATCCAATCGACGACTGACAAAGCGACATCAACAGCCACCGCGGATGTCGGATATCTGAGGTTTTATCACTCATTCGATATATTTTCACTCTATCGGTTTGTTAAATGCTGCCTTCCGACTTCCCGTCTGCTGCATCAGTTATAGACTCGAGAGCCGCGGATAAAGTTATTCTGAGAAACTTCGGCGAAGATGAAGGAACCGGAATACGTTCTTGAAACCTCATGTCTGACTCATTATCGGTGAAGCCCGGCTCTACACGCCCGGACATTCGGTAGAGTTGCGTGAATGTTTCTCAGTCTCCATCGGACGCCAGAGGCGATGTTCTTCGTATAACCCGGATGACAGCTGATAAGAGCGCAAGGACACCCGCGAGCTCATTGTTTCGGAATCTCCGTATTCTCACCATACGAAACCACCGATGAAGACTCCAGATGAGTTGATGTGAGAAGCGTTGTCGGGATCATTATCAAAAACCACGAAGATTTTCTCGGCTTCGTCAACAGCAACAGCTTCCACAATCACTGAAGCAACAGGGTTCTTCCGTTCAGATTTTGCGATTCCACACAAAGCTCGAGAAATGGGCGAATGGAGAAACCTCGTTCTCTTCTTTCCTCGTCAGCGATCCGCCGCTAGCGAGCAGTGCTTTGGACGCCCATGGCCTGCTTGGTATGGAGCCTCGGCAGTCATTGACTCATCAACGCCCCGGAGTTTTCAGCTCAAGAGACGTTACAAAATTCGATATAAGTCACCACAAACCATTAATTCGTCGGTCGTTGCAAACAGTCAGTCAACCCGAAGTCTGGACTTATTGCATCAGCTGCAATTATAGAGAATCAGAGTCGGGGGTGTTGGCTCCACGATGTGTCGCCTGGACTTCGCGCTGCATGGGCGGGAATCGATGCGATGACTTAATGAGGGAGAATATCAGAACAATATGGTGACAGCAATAAGGAACAAGAGCCGTTTTAGGGGAAAGGCGGTCGGCATGCTGTAGTGGGTCGCGCAGAAGCTCACTTTGACGAAAGTTAATAATCGCCAATTCCGTCGTTTCATCTATGCTCCGACTATGGAGCTGTTTGTCCGATAGGCGAGCATGGAGTCGAATATTGCGGTGGCGGCGGTAAGGTTGGTCGCTGAGTGGTGGCATCCCCCGAAGCGACAGGAAGTGGACCAAGCAGGCCAAGGGCACGCGACGCCCAAGCCATTGACAACGGTTCTTTTTTTTTCTTTCTGACCGTATGCCGGCTCTGAGCCGTTATATCGTTTCTCTGTTCCGTTTACTGGTTTCGTCGTTCTCCACGATACTGCTCGGTCCGCCAAGCTGCTGACGCTGCGGAATCACTTTGGATTTCCGTCTTCAATGAAGCCCCAGAGCTCGCGAACTTCGCTCTCGTCGATCCTTAATGGAAGTCATTATGGTCGATTAGAAGCGCCGTCCACGATCGATATCCTCAGGGCTGAAAAGTCCTTGGCCGAAATTCCGGAGGCACGAGGAATTTCGAGTTCGCGAGCATTCGATAGAGAGGAGATGATTTTCTGGAGGATACTCCTTGAGCTCCGCTGATACTCCCATCATTCCTCGTGATGCGGGGAGCAAGGATCATTGAATGAATCTATCAACTCGCAAATTAGACGAATGATTTAATAATGAGCTCCCTTGATTTCTCTCCAACGATATTACCGCATCAGCGTCTTTTCGAGCTCACAATAAGTCGATGTGTGAGGAAAGCGTGGCCATTGAATATAAATTGTCCCAAGCGGTGACCGGTGAGTGAGTGAGCGAGTGAGTGAACGAGCGAGTCAGCGAGCTGTCTTTCTTGTCACTCCGCGCCGTAGGTCTCTCTAGTGAGGCGCTCTCTCTAAATTGCCCTGTCAACGGTCCCTGGTATTGAATTGAGTGGATGCGTCGTAGTGGACGGTGGGGACAAAGATCGGCGCTGCTCCTGATAACAACTCCCCGCTTTCCGAATCACTCTGGCGCTAACTCGTTTCTCTTCGGTCGGCGAGCAAAGACTGTTACCGTAGTCTGGAGGATTTTTCCCTATGGAGAGACGAAATCCTCCGAGCTTCCGGAGTAACTTTCGTCGTGCACCATGATCCGCTCCCAGCGAGTCCCGTAAGTCCACCGTTTCGAATTCACACGCTAAAATTTCTCATCCCGAACGATCCGCGACCTCAGAATCCGGATCTCGGGAACTTCGCCAGTCGTTGGACTCGCCGGATGCTTTCATGTTGGTTTGTTTTGTTGGAGCTTCGTTACCCGATCTGTGATGGGGATATCGGGAGAAAAATGTTTGCTTGGCTCAATCTCGAGAGGGGCATCCGGTCGGCGCAAGGCCTCAACTATGCATGATCGTAAGTGATCCGTAGAAGGCACGACCCGAGGAATTCGATATAATATTCTCTCGAGCTTAGTTTTCCCGTCGGTCCGACGAGTCATCGTCCTCGAGGAGCGATACGCTGGCTTGCAGCGCTTCTTACCAATGCACTCGAACGCCAGAGCGATGCATCACCCTCTCGAGGGCTTGATTCGAATCTCGGTAATTGAATCAATGCAAACCGCGCCCCGATGATTCGAGTTGGAATATGGAAGAAATCAGAGGGAGCCTCATTTTCACCACGGAGTCGTGAGCCTCGCGTCTACTCAGCCGCTGAGGGAGCAAGATTTTTGGCTTCACCGTGAAATTCGTTTCGTGTAAGCACTTGACCAATGGCACCGCCCGAAGGGTCTCCTGACCTTCGACTCGCTCTGTCGGCAATAGTGAATGCGGTCACTGTGGATTTTTCGTGACTCTTGGAATTTTGGTCAGTAGAACAAGAAGTGATCGTGCATATACAAACTCACAGCGTAAACTCTCCGTTCGTTTGTGAGAACAAAACCGAAAATATTCATGGAGCTGTGCGGAATATTCTTCGCAGAAGTTTCTTGTCATCGGCCAGCGCTTCGGATCATCGGGAAGCATGGTAATACTTATGAAAGGAGCTTTCTCGTTCTGAGGGAAGGGTACTCTTGGTACTTTCCATTTTGGCAAGCCTCTGTCAAAAAATGAACCCTGTGTCTGCGGAAGGAGATAGGGATAGCCTTTCGCGTATGCTCGTCAGAGTAAATTTTAGCGAAAATATGGAGTTACAGGATAAAGTTCCAGTCTTTCATGTCCGCCATATTCCTGACTGTGGGCTCAATATCATATTTCCATCGAGCGGATATTGAAGGCCGCGGACGCCGGTGGTGGTTTCCGGTGATCCAGCTTGACCCGCTGTCCCAATTGTTCGTACAAAGGAGCCTATCACTATTTAGGTTGCCCCCGGAGACGGAGAGCTATCATTTGATCATGCATATCATCATTTGATGGAGCAAGCCGTACTCTCCGCGAGAGTGAGCAGGAATCTCATTCCACTTTATGTCTCGGAGCTGGAGACCCACCGGGAACTACTCCAAGCAGATCCTCGATCTGCAATCGTTCTCCGCGATTGTTGATTACCCAGCTCGTTCGGACTCCTGGGTGGGATCGTGTTGAACGGAATTCCGGGACATCTTCGACCGGGTATGAGTTTATTCGATTGACATCTCCCGTAATGTGTTCATCCGAGCTAGAAATGACCGAAACTTGATGTCTTCGCGGGAGTATTTTTTATCCGAAGCTCAATCGCGTGAGAAGCTTACGGAGTCATCCCACAGACTTAGGGCGACCATTTGGTTGCCAGAGTCAGAGACGCAGACCACCGCGGTGTCAGCCGCGATCGGGAGACTTCAAGCGAAGCCGCTGCATCTCCCTCGCCGAATGGCAGATCACATCTGGAAGCCGTCCGCGTAATCGGCATCTAACGATCGAGTGGGCAGCTATCATCATAGAGATGTCATAATCACAAAGTTGCCGTTAAGAACTTCTGAGGAACCACAATATGTCCGCTCTTTCCCGTTTGCGATCTCTGCTGCAACGGTTCCAAAAGTTAGCCGACGCGAGGGACTCGATGGAAGATTCCGTAGCCTCGACAGAATAGCGGATATGTAGTTATAGCTCATGGGAATTCATCTTCGGGGAATCGGTCCATCTGTGGTCGGAGTTCATCGCGGGATGACTCTTTCCAAGGTGATCGCTTTAACGAGCACGTCGCCCTCAACAAGTTCCGGGGAATCTCGGAATGCACATTCTAATGCCGCGCTTTTTTCCTTGCAGCAAATGATGTATTCATCCTACCAGAAGCATTATCCGACTGAAACATTATACTGCACTTCGGACATCGTTAAAGGGACAATGGCGTACAATGAGGAATTGTCTCCTGAAGAAGGACGTCTCACAGATTTCGAAGTCGATCAAATCGAACATTGCTATAGGAGCCAGAAGACCAGCGTTTACGTCGCGAGATGCCTCGCCAATTTATACTTCACCAGAGCCGATCAAAGGGGAAATCCGGTTGCTTGGGAACTGAGCTCTTGTGGAGTTCCAGTTTTGATTCTCGACAGAGGTAATTACTGTCCTGTTCGTTCGAATATGAAACATCGAAACTCTGTCTCTCCGCTTCTTTCGACGAGAAGCGGAGCGGCATGATAGTCGGGCTCAGGCGGCTCGTGTACGCCTCAACACTTTACGAGTCTCCGTCGTATCCTCCAGGTGAATCGAAAGCGCGATCGACCCGTCAGCTGCAGATTATTCTCGCGGAAAAGGGCACGGGCTTCGCTCTGTGGAGAGACAAGATCGATAACTTGTCACAGTACAAGTGTCCCGGAGAGGAAGCTTCGTTTCAAACCATGTATTTATCGTATGATCACCGAGAAATGATCGGCTTCAGTTTCGACTTGGAGGGAGCCGCGCAGGATTTCTTCGAGACTGTAAGTGAATCGGAATCTCTTCCCCTTGAATCATCTCCGCAAACTTCCCACCCCGGCAACGATAAGAGCTGCGCGACTCGATTGTTTCGAGTTACTCACTCTGAACGTCCGTCTTCCGAGTCGCTAAACTCACTGCACTTCGACTGCTGATACTTCAGGGAGCCGTGCCCGGAGGATGAACGAGGTCTTGACTTTCGCAAATATTGAATGATGAAAAACTCCCTCTGTTGCAGGTGTCAGATCTGTGCGCAGATCCGAAAAATATCAGTCTTTCGATGCCCAAGCTGTCTAAGAAGAAGTCGTCGAAGTCGAAGAAGTCGAAAACACCAGAAAAACGTCGCGTCGTCAAATCGGAAATATCGACGCCCATTTGCTTCCAGCACGTGACGTCAGTTGACGTCATGGACCGCGAGAAGCTCAACTCGTTAAGCTCTTTGGTGCAAACCTTGAGTTTAGATGTGAGCTCTGTGGAGAGTGCGAGCACATCGGGAACTTCGAGTTCGAATTCAATAACCTCGAGTCATCTTTGATGAACCCGTGGATGATCTTTTAGAGCGCTTTCATGTATAAATGCTCCCACTGTACATAAGATGCAAAGTGATTACAAGCCGACGAGGTGCCAAGCGGACGTTTCCTCCTTATGTATATAGTACTTGATCCTGATTTGGACAATGTCATTGTTGCGATTATCGGATATGAATGGATCGGTAATAAAAACCCTAATTATTGAGAAGAGGACTTATCTCTATATGTATATTTCTATTCGTGTCCGGATGTTCCTCATGCGCTGTTCAACTACGCAAGGGACCACTCTGAAATTCGGCACAATTATTCGTTCCGGCGCTGGGAAGCTTCGTGGCGAGGAAAGTCTCCTCGAAGCTCAATAAGCTCTCTGGAATATCCGTTTCTCTCCGTTCCGCCTCCCATCATCGTTTTTGATCGCTTGTTACGGATTGTTCAGCATGCGATCTCCAATAGGGAGATTACTTGTGAGAACGAGAGACTAGGAGGCCGACGAAGACAATAATCGAAATTGGGAGGCTAGGAGGAGAGTAGGGAAGAAGTGAAAAATGGGAGATACATTATGGGGAACGAGAGGAATGAGAAATATCAGGAGATCCGAGAGCAGAGGAGGAACGGGAAAGAAGGACCAAAGAGCTTAAGAAGAGGCACGGGAAAAAAGTACAGACGAGGTAAAGAAGATGAAGGAGAAAAAAATGACAGAGACGGGAGAATAGCAGAGATTCTGGGGAAGGGAGCGGGAACAGGTAGCGAAAAATGATTGGAGTTTTGTGAGACAGCGGGGGATGAGAACGGGAAAAGAGGAGGCAAACGTTTACAATATCATGAGAAACGGGAGCAGAGGAGGGGGAAAGGGAGTGGGTAGAAAATTGGAGAGATATGGGAAATGAGAGGAAGGGTGAAACGGGAGGGGCAGGGGAGAACACAGGGAAGTGGAGGAAGACAGGAAAAAGTCAAGGGTGAGTTAAGAAAGAGAACGAATTCTGAAGAGCAGACGAGAGGGAGCCTGTAGGGTGACGGGTTAAGATCAGAGATCAGAGGTTCTGGAGCAGAGAGAAGAAACTCGGACACTAAGGGACAAGAATTGAGGGAATAATTCTATCGGACATCTATCTCGGACATCTGCTGCCGGAACCCCAAATAAATAGCTCACCATGTCCAGCCTTGCATGAGTCGAAGCTGCCTTCTGAGATTTCGATTTGCTTCCACGCATCCGATGACGTGCCATCTGGAGCTTCCAACTGCGACCGGAGGCTCGTTTTTTCCCGCAGCGATTCCGCCCGCAATTATCATTGTCTCGCTCGGCGCTCAAAAAAGCGTGTCTCTGAGAGTTTCGTCGCAGAATTGTGAAATTCACGTACAGGTCTTAAGTCAAGTTGCCCTTGAGAAAAGCATATACCTAGGGCTCTGAGGCATGCCTCGTCCCGTCATCGGCGCCTATTCTATGAATGACCTGCGGCACGACGGAGGAGTTGGAGATCATCATATTCCACTTCTGAGAGTCTGGGAATCGTTTCCCGGGGGATTTACGGGTGTTCTCAGTAAACCAGACGCGGAATCTGCCTCGGATCGAAGCACCAACCTCCTTCGGGAGGAGACCTTCAATCTCTGCATCGATGTCTTCTGTCCCGTCTCAGCGCTCAGTTGTGGGTCTTGGAACGCCTTGAGTGCCACAGGCGGGGAATTGAGGGACGCCGAAACCCAGAAACTTTCAGGTTCTGATCCCCCTCGACCACTTCTGTCCATTCTTAATGCCTGTCTCGAGGATCTCTGGTGCCTATTGGCCTGCAGATCTCTGATTCCTTCAGTGCTTGGAACCCTGGCTCTAGTCATCATAATTACTCAATTCCAACTCGAAGCATCCGGTCGAGCGAGTCTACGCCCGGATACGGATGTTCCGATGTGATATCACGGCCATCCTAGCGGCAAGTTTGGAGTAGATCCCAGTGATCCGTCGCTGATCCCAAGCAGTGGCGTAAGCAGGGTTCCCGAGGCGCACTCTTCGAGGGGTGCGATTTCCGACCTCGACGTTCGAAGAAACAGAGATTTCTCGACAGGCGAAGCACTCCATCCGCTACCATCCGCATCTCTGCCAAGCCGCTCGAGATATGTTGAACTTTTAGGGAAGTCTCTGCTCCGGGTCGACATTCACGGACGTCATTCGGGCTCGATACGTCATTCCAAGCCGGCATCATTGATATCCATGAAAGCATTGCGACGGAATCAACAGTCGATATTACATTTAAGCCACCTCTTTCGGAGGAGGAGGAGGATGCTCCGACTGACGAATCTCCCTTCTCGTGGGAAATTGGGAATCGGCACGAATTGAGCGAATATTCCGCACCCCTCCGTTTGATTACGACCTATCGAGGTGATTCAATCTCTGAGGAGCGCCGAGGGGATTCTCTCAAATTCTGCGGTCAAAAAACTGGCAGACTCCACTACAGAGAAGCGCCTTTGAGCATACCATCTCTTACATGATGATTGATTTGATTCGCAACAGCTCGGCAAAAACTTCGTTAACATACTTACGTATATCCGAGGTCCGACCCGCCGTAATACGCTGGACTGTGACTTTGCGAACATCTATCTACATATTATCGCGAATTCCAGCATCTTAATCCGTGATTTCGGATTTCGACCGAGACCGGACCCCTCGTCAAGCTCGAAATAGATTGGAGCCTCGAACTAGCTGTCGTGCAAGTTTTTACACCGGACAGGCTTCGTTGATCAGAGCCTCGACTTCCTTGTTCACATGTGGCCGATGTGAGCCGGAAGTTCTTGGAAACCGGAGATTGCAGATTGCAGACTATTATTATTCCTGAAGAAGATTCCGGCCTTCCGAATTCAGTTCAAAAACTACCTGCAAAGGGCCGACGGCATCTGGTGAGTGAGACCTCGACTTGTCAGAATTGAAGTGCGGCCCCACGCGCATGTCTCCTCCTAGGCTCGAGGGGGATCTGAGACTCCGCGGCTGACCTGGGAGGAATTCGTGGTGAGATGGTGGTTCGGGAAGGCCTTATACTGTGGGAGTTTTGACATATTCGGCCATGTATCCCAATATTCGGTCCCAATAATCGTCGACGTCGGACCCCGGTAATAGAGGACGTCCCGCCTCAGCTAGTTCTGTGGAACCGTTAGAACTCGAGGACCAAATCAGAGGCTCGTGAATCCCGAAGATGAAATTGAGCTTTGATCACACTAATCACAAACAAAAATGCACCCTTCCGACCACACATCGATGATGTCGTGTAGAATTCGGCTCCGAACAGCGTATCGGGTGGCCGGTACCACAGAGTCACCGCTTCGGCCGAATAGCATCGATCCGGGATTCCGAATGCGCGAGTAATCCCGAAATCAGCCAATTCGAGTTCCCCGTTCGGGGAAGGAAAATCATCTTCGAGGCTCTCTTCCGACGGTGGAGTTTCCACGAAAACAAAGGCGCCAAGCAGAAGCGTTTTCGCGCGAGGGGCCGTGATTTCTGAAGTTCTCAGTCGGAGAAGAAGACATAGAATTTAGAGAACTTCCGGGTTTCTCATCCCGGAGGATTCCGGAGTGTCGTCAGCTGTGCCGGGCTTACCAGAGCGCCGGAAGCATACAGACGGGTCATACAGGTAGACAATAAATGATAGCCGCCTACGCTTGCGGTTCAGCGCACGGAGTTTGAGGAGAGTGTAGTTTTTCGGTGTGACATATCCCGAAACGAAAACATCATATCTTCTGTCAGAGATAGGCATCAGGAGGTGGATGACCGCGTCTTTGAACGCTTATTGTCCGAGGGGCATTTTGATGTCTTTTTCAAAATGCGACAATCCCCCACACGTCGCGCTGCGCCCTGTTCCCAATCGAGCAGGCTAAGGCTTCGTGGTTGACCATTCGTTTGCGTGGCGAGTCGCCAGGAGAGTACGCGAGTCCCAAGCTCTCCACGCTCTATTAGGTATTATGTCAACTAATCCCCCCCCCTTAAATTTGTCGTGTCGGATAAAGGAGTTATGAAATGAAATGAGAGTTCGCAAGAGAGCGAGAAGGTTTCCCAAGAATGTCCCGAATTTCTCTTGGATTCCGTTGTTTACAAAAAAAAATTCGAATTTCGCGCCAAGTAAACCGATTCTTCACTGACGAATGACGAATGCTATTTTGTGTGAGCCGATTGAGACACCGATCAGTTGTCATGCGGCCGACGCGTAGTTGGGGAGGGAAACGGTCAACCGGAGTCCGACGCGATGTCACCCGATGCTAGGAGTACACTCCAATGTATTCGGTGCTGCTGACTTTCTGCTGCGGTTGTGAACGCGCGGGTCAGGTGTTGTGACCGCGGCGTCTGAAAGCGGAGACCCACCAGCCGATTCGCATGCGTTCGACGCAACTCCCGCGCTTCCAGGTTCCGGATGCTCCTCGGAATTACTCCGTCTCCGAAGACGTTTCTTGAGTTGTTCCCGTCACGGCTGTCACATGCTACATGGCTTTTGCGCACGAAATGATTCTAGGAGGTAAACTTGATATGCTACCGATTCGAATCGGAAGAACATAAGTTTCGTTTTGGCTCCGAGCGAATTCGATCACAATTTCGGTTCGAGGGGACGACGACGGTATGGAGAAAGGTCGCTGTCAGCCGAGCGATCGAAATGAAGAGCAACGTTTTTAAGTTCAGGGAGGTTTCGAACCTCAAGGTCTTCGCTGCGATTCGAAGTCGGAGCTGGAAACTTCCGTTCCGCATCCGATCCTATGACCTGAGGAGACTCAGGACGTTCTCTCGGCTCCGAATATCGATGACTGTTGACTTCATTTTCGCTCTGACAGGTGAAACTACAAACATCAAAGAGGAAATGGATGGCCTTGGTGAGGGTGAGTAGTCCTGATCGGTGAGATGGAACCGTACCCCAGAGCGAGAATTATGTGTTTTACTCGTTTAATGGCTTATGAAGAGCGGTTCCATGAGATGTTTGCTTTGAAACAATGTATCGAAGAGGCTCATCGTCAAGAGTTCTGCCGTTCGGGAGGTAGTATTCATGAACTACGTCGGAAGAGACAATATCATGAAAAGTGGTGGGCCTCGAATATGCTGATAGCTTGGCATGGAGGGGCAATTCAATGAATCTGAGCGTAGACTCCTCGGAGAATCACGGAGCAGAAAGAGTCGAGGTGGAGTGGGGTAGATGTGAAGTTCCCAAGCTGAATCCCCGTGAGCAGAATACTAAAGAGAATTCCATTTCTTTTCTTGCTTACAGACGCCGATTTGAAAGAAGATCAAATTGACTTGCCGTTGAGTCAGAGTAAGTGCCATTCCACCGATATGTTTCCATAGTCAGTGTTCGGCCCGGTCGAGATTCTGTTGGCGCCGCCCTCCGCTTGTCCAAACTTGCCTCATCATTGCACGTTTCCAGTCTCGAAGCGGGTCCTGGGCTTTCGGCGGGACGTGTCGAGACAAGTGCTTGGAGCTGGCGAAGATCCGTGCGGAATCCTCACCTCTCTCCCCGCGCGGAAACACTTCAGGAATCGTTTTCTGATTCGGCTCGTTCTTCCCTTTCAGACACAATGAGTGCCTTGACTCGCGACCTGGGCTTTGAGAATCTCGACAACATCATTGTGGTGTCCCAGGGCTCATCGCAGAAAAGTGTCGGTGACGTCTTTGCCACAATCGCTGTCAGCGCCTTCGAACAGCGGAAAGTTGTCAAATCAAGTCCTTGGGTAAGCTGCTCCTCCTCCTCCTCCTCGAGTCAATTCGTAGGGCCAAGGAGTTCTCTGATGCCGAACGGACGGGAAGTGGCCCTCGAGAGCGGGCAGTCCATTGAATGTCTCCGGCCCGATCCATAGAATTCACTCAACCCGTCAACTATTCTATCGATAAGCAATTTTCGGGTGACTTTCAACGTCCATCCTCGACCGTTCAGGGACGAATCTCTGAGGAGGGAATTCCCGATCCAACTCTCGGCTAGCGCTCGTGTCGTCGGGACCCTGATGTCCAGAACGAGAATACAGTGCAGAAATTGAATGTCGATCCCTGAAATCGAGAGTATAGTGCTATTTCCCTGAGAATTCCGAGGAGCGCACATATCCTGGAGATCTCGGAGACGCGGGCGCAGGCGAAACCGACAAGAGGACGTGTCCCCCGAGATTGCAGCTTGATACATGCGATGTGATCCCCGGAACGATGGAGTCGGCGTCGATCCGATGAGAAAACCTGATTGAAAGGAGCTCTCCGTGTACTTACAGATTTACTCAAGCGTACTGGAACGCTTATTCGTCAAGAACAACGAGCGGGTACCGCTGCTGGTTACCTGCCAGGGAAACTTCCATATAGCAATGTCGATATCCGCCTACGTTAAGTTTTACGATGTACAGTATCTGGGTTCCGCGGTCGAAGTTTGTCCCAACCATGTCAAGCACAACGAAAAATTCAAACTGGAACATCCCAGGCACATGCTGCAGTATCAAGGAGACCGTGTGGTCAAGTACACCGAGCCCCCGGAAACAGGTGAGCTTTCAACTCCAGAAGATTTGCTTCAAAATCATTCCAGATTAACGGAGACGCTCAAATCCTTCCAGCGGATTATTGTATAAAAATACCCGTCCTGCCAGACGCGTTCACTCAGGGGCAGGCTGAGACGTTCTTGTTCAGCTGTTTGTCGTCGTGTGTGACCGTCGCTAGGAGGAATGTTTCATTCTGTGCTGAACTACATTACAAGGACCATCTCCTTTCAAAGGTAATCGGTCTAATTCTGATTCGAGATATTGCATTCCGCCAGGCTATACAGTGCGAGAAGAGCCTTTTGTGTTGATGTTCCCGATTTTAGGTGCGAGAGATCGATCTGAGATTGATCTGAGAAGGGAGTCTCGATTGATTCCCCCGGCCCAGGTGTTCTGATGCCAAGGTTCTCTTTAATCGCAGGTAGAGATTCCGCTCAAAATAAGTGCTTCTCCGATGCGAGATATGATGCACCTCGAACAGAAGAGTAACGGACGTGGAGACAGAGTGACCGCGCCTGTCGCAAAACGGACGAGAAAGGAGGAAACGAGCAGCACAGTCCAAGCTGAGATTCTGGTCCGCGTCAAAGGGAGGAAGCATATAGAAGATCTCAGAGAATGGCTGGCCAATAATGTGTCTCATGATCATTACGTTGTATACACAGCACAAGACTGATGTGACTATCGATTCCTCGAGGCCCATGAGAATAGATGATAGAATTTGTGGGTGAGGCGGGCCGGAGAAGTTTTGTGACGACCAGAAGCTAATCTGGAGCCTTGTACAGAGGAGTGATCCCTCCAATTGGGAGGGCGAGTCCACAAAGGGCCGGCAAGACCCAGGCCGTAGTTCTCATGCCGCACATTCTTAATACCTGTGAGCCCGTCGACTCGATTTCATTGTACAAAACACCGGGTATTAGGTCCAGTTCGGTTTCCGGAGCACGTATTGCGGATTGTTTGTTTTCTTTTGCCGCCAGGAAACTGACTCCGTCTAGAGTAAATCTATGGGAGCAAGAACACTGTCCCTCTGAGAGAGAGGGGATGTCTGAGCATTTTGAATTGAGAGATGAGCTGTCATGACGAGATTGACGCGTGCCTATCGTTGGGAGAACAGCGGGCGCGACCCCTTTTGAAAGACAAATACGGAACTCGGACACCGGTAGGTTCGATAGGGGAAGGGGTTCTTACCTAATCGCAGCTCTCTGTGCCTACTTCTATTCTTCTCCCATTCATGATTGAACGATCCTTCTAAGACCGCTCCCGAAAGAGTCGTTCTTCCGCGAGCTCTGGAACAGACGCTGCTGCACGCTGTCGAGCATGACATCAATGAAACTGAGTTTTTCTGAGAAGAAACTCGATTTTTTTCTTATTTCGCCTGACGGAAGATCTACTCCGACGATTCTCTTGCGGGTTCCCGCTCGAACGGACTCCTGATTGCCCGCTGTAGCACTTTCGGAGGAAAGAGGGAGTTGTCCATAGAATGCTGAGCCTTCTGAGAATAATTTCTATTCCTTGTGTATATCCTGTGAGATCGGAAATGGTCGCGAGCGGCACGATGTTCTTTTTCTATCCTCTTTCTAGCTCCGGACTCCTCGTCTACGTGTTCGCTGAATCTGAGTCGGGCCCCTCGATTGTTGCGCCGCCGTGGAAGATCGAGCTCCGACCCTTGCCTCGAACAAGAAATGAGAGGAGACCTCGCCACTGTGACCCTACACTTGCATCTCCACCGGGCTGAATAATCTTTACCAGAACGCTCCCGAGGAAGTCGTCTTCTTGCGAGATTTAGAAGAGACGGTAGAGGAACTGGAGTCCGTCGGAGCTGAAAGCGAGGAGAACGCCTGGGACGAATATACAGGTGTTCGCTGGGGGCGAACATTTATTCTTGACTCCGTTTCTTCGCATAATACTCGATTCGGGATTCTAGACTGTCGCAGGTCTCTCTTTCGAGGAGGGGTTTATGAGTTCTCGATCGAGGTCCCGGGGATAAGCAATCGGCATGATTTCGAGGATCGTATTTCGAAATGGAGCAAAGATCCTTCACCATCGAGGATATCATGGCGACCCTGTGCGGCGGAGAAAGAAGAGATATTGATCGAAGGGGAGAAGCTGAGTCTATGAGCGATGGAGGATTACTTTAAACGTGGACCTTCTTTGGACTGAGGTCACGGAAGTGCGAATTGTTTACGAGAAAAACGGGAACTTCACATACTTGATGGAATGAAGGCTCCACAGTCGAATGAGACCGTCGATCACAGAATTCAGCACCTCGTGACAATATATCCATTCGAATGAGTCGTATTCAGAATCGTAGAGGCAGAGCGCGACCTCTGAAGCCATCGAATACTGCGGTTTCCTCGGATTCTTCCCCACGTCGAGTAGATCGCTCACTATAGATGGCGATTCTTTGCCTGAGGGTGATTCATCCAGGTAGCAAACGACACTGAAACCGCTCGAAGAGGGTCAATATATCAGCCCAGAACTTGGATCAGATCGATAGAGACGGGGAGAGAGAGACCTTCGCCAACCAGTAAGAGAACAGCGACGATGCATCTGATCTGATGCCAGAGGAAAGCATTGCTCCTAATGACGAAGCAGCACATGTCCGCAGCTTCACTCCTGCAAAATTAAGCGAATTCCCAGCAATGCGATTTATCTGGGAGAGTGTGTGCTTTTCCCCCGTATGAGAGCGTTCGCAAATCATTCTTTTATGAGGGCATGACCCACCCATCAGGAGCTTCGATCCAACATTTTTCCACTCTCCGACGGAATTGGGTGACTCCGTTCCCGACGTCCATCTTGCAGAGGTTCCGGAAGTCGTTTTCACCTTCGAGCAACCGAGAGGCCTCTCTCATGGATTCAACTTTCAATCGCCCTCGCGGAAAGAAATACCTGAATTTGAGGACGTTCTCGAGTTATGGAGCTCCCTACCGGGCGCGAGTCTCGCGCGCGCCGCTCGAGATGATCTCAATCACCGCTAGGAATTTTTTTGGAAGATTCAAGCAGCGGAGATCCGAAATCAAGCTCGATGCGGCAGAGGTGGATACAATGGAACTACATTTACCGGTAGCTGCGCATTCGACAATCGAATCTAGCCGATAGTCTCGGATCCACTGGTGACCAAGCGATCATCCTGATTTCTGCCGGTAGAACTCGATTGAGAATCTTCACGTAATCGATCTCTTCTCCGGATATCTGAGTCCGGCCCGCGCGGTAGTCGGGTGGAGTCACAACTCCAACTCCGTCCTCCAAATTACTTCGGAGATCCAATGTGATTACCTGTGATGTTGAATCGTTTGTGAGAAGATATTTTTCTGATGAAACTATGCGGTAAAATGGGGGTATGACGTCGGCTCGACTTCCCTCTGTACTCACTTGGCTGAACGCTGACACTCCTTTATCTGTGCGGCCACACCTATGATAGTTCGAGGTCTCCCTATCCCTTACCAACTTCGTTCGGTAGAGGGCTTCGAATATCACGGCTTCAATCGTTCGATCGGTGTCGTCTTGGACAACGAATCCCTTATAGTCCCAACCGAGGTACAGGAACTTGAGCGCTACGTGTCGAAGTTTGAACCTACAAGAAGAATGGAGCTCGTTGAAAATCCCTGTTAAGAAGCCGGTCGACTGGGATCAACGATCGCCCGATGAGAGACTTTACTGGCCTCGAGAAATCGAAACTCATTCGATTTTTCCGGCGCTTGGCTTTCGGATATCTTAAATCGGACGGTTTGTCCTCTGGACCAGCCGGAGAGGTTCCACACTTCGTGCTTCCGTGCGCCGCTTTTTTGAAGTCCTCAATACATTGTCTCTGAGAAAGCGCTAAGCGTAACAGGTCCTTGAAATAGGAGAAATCACCCAATCAATATCAATGGACTGTGGGAACTCTCTTATTTTGAGGGCAAGGATGCCGGGATGCGTCGTTATGATAGTTATTCACCTCTTTGGACAAGCCCTTTATAGTTTCGTCGTCGAGATCGCTTGTCAATGACTCGGCGTCCACACGTAGCGCTCCATCGTTTCTCCCGCCTGATTCAGTCGGTCGGCCCTGCAACTGAAATTCAACCCCATCCAGAGTGAACCCAATGGATGCCGCGGATCGATGCTAGTAGCCTCCTCGCAAGGGACGATTTATGATTCTACTCACTTCTTCAATCGCATCCATGAGATTCTCCTGGTTAGGAATCACGCTCAGCTGCCCGAAACCGCCGGAGGAGCTCCGACGTTCGAAATGTCCCGTATATCGGGGATCCCGACGGAGGGGAAGCTCTCATTCGACAACACCCAGCTATGAAGCCAGAACAGATCGTGACATGCTCCCTTCTCGTCACATAAAATGAACGTGGGTCGGAGTCCTAGCTAGAGCTCGATGAAGAGTGACACTCACGAAGCACGCTGATAACCAGCCGGTCGCGGCTCGATGTTTCGAAAACTCGCGCCATTCGACTACGCTCGCTCGAGAGCTGACACAGTAGGTTGTCGGTGTCAGTGGTCAGCCTTCCGCGTCTTGCCGATTGCAAAGGCTCGAGTCGAGCAGGGGCATATCGCCGGTGGAGAGCCGAGCCGTATGATGAGGGGCGGACAGACGGAAAGGGAACTGTCTGGCCCAGGGAACGACGTTCTGCCTCGTCGCAAAACAGCGATTCCACCTGTCGGATTCTCACTAAGCGATGAGTATCGCTGATCGGTACCGAAGACGAAACATATCTCGTCATAGCTCTGGAAGGCGCCGATGGAGAGCACGGGCGGTGATTGTACCCTAATCCGTAGAATAATTCGATGCTGCGCGGCTGCACGCGGGCAAGGCAGATTCCGGAATGGATACGTCGACCGATTTTGTTCTCGGCGTAGATGCTCTCCCGAGCTCGGAATATGAAGAAGACGAAAGCATCTTGCATATTCTGGACGAGCTGCTCAAGCTACCTAGGATGGGGCACCGCGAACAAAAATTAATCTTAGGCGGGGTATATCCTGTCTTTCATCCTTTGAATTTCGCGCCACCATCTAAGTTGTTGGCGGATTAGCGCCTCTCTGAACGCGTGGAGCACTTGTCGGGAACTCAGTAGAGATCTTCCTTTCTAAATCTCGCTATAGAAAGCTAGAATTGACTCGAGCGAAATCGGGACATACTACGATCGCATGCTCAGAGGTGCCGTGGTGGTGTTGACTGCCAACGTAACGTAGTTCGACGACGTTGTCGCCTCCGTCGTCCCGAAGGCATCATCATCGTTGCCCGCCGTTGTTCCGCCGCCGCTGGTCCGCTGCCGGAGTCTCATTGCTATCCGTGCCGCCTCCTGAGCTGCCGCTGGATCTCGATCGATCATCCAGAGCTCTAAGATCGAATCGACGAGCATCTCTCGTGGGACTCCTCGTGCGTACCAGACATCGCGGTAGCCTCTAAAATGGTGAATCAGGTCTCCAGTGCGGACGACTTCAAGGCTCGGATCAAAACTCCCGGCAAAGTCGTATTCGTTGACATATTCGCTACTTGGTGCGGTCCGTGCAAAGTTATCGCACCTGTTTTCGAGAAGCTCAGCTCCGAGTTCCCCGACTGCGTTTTCATTAAGGTATTTGTTGTCGATTGTCGATTCTTCGCTTATTTATTACGATGCCGATGTCGTCGATCACTGACTCATCAGAAGTGACATGTGTTCGGAGCCTGTACAGGACCCCTGCTGCAGCCTCAGGAGAGATGCATTGACGTTTCCCCAATGAAAGCGCGATTGATCTTTGTAGCCGAATTCGGCACGCTGACGGAGCGCCAAACGACGGACGATTATGGGTGGTTACGGATCAACGAATTTCGCGCCCCCGATTACGAGGCTCGATTGAGCTGAATCACCGGCCTGTGCGCGCTCCGCGTCACGCATGTCTACGGTCAATAGCAGAGAATAAGAGCTCCTTTCTACAGAGCGGTTGGACGGCGACACATGTGGTCGGAGTTCAGCCTTCGGGTGGAAAGCGTGACGAATTGTGTGACTCGGCGGACTCGCGACCCATGCTCTTATCGATCGCTCGGTCGTGCAGTGTGAGCTCCTCCCTGGACAAACCTCTGGGTGACGATGTTTACCCCTGATGCAGCTCAGGCATGGCTTATTCGAAGTACCTGCTTCCTACATGGTTGGCTAGGCGAGTCACTTTTCTGGGTCCCCGGAATTTCTCCCGAACAATGGAACAGACTGTAGTAGAATGCGCGATGGGCCCGTCAGAAGGCTCATATTGAGCAAAGAATCCGTTGCCGTATGTGAATCGAGGTCGCGGCAGGAAAACGTTTGGTGGAGGATGAGGAATCAGGCATTCCCCAAATTAGGCTCTCCCTCTGATATTTCCCGTTTTGTCGAGCCAAATGAATGAATTCCATCCGGGACAGACGTTCTTCCTTACACGACGATATGGTACCTACATGACGTTTCGTAGCTGGAAGAGCTCGTTCCAAGTATAGCATGAGGTGGCGCTCGATCTCCGAATGAATTATCATACCTCGGACGGGACCTTCCGTCTACGAGGAAACTCCAAGAGCCAGGAAATCGTGACGAATTCGGGACTATTCCAGGTGAACGCCGATGAAGTTGAAGCTGTGACGGAGGAGTACGATGTTCAAGCGCTACCGACATTCCTGGTCTTCAAAGAAGGAGCACTCCTCGACAGAATGACCGGATCGAACTCCGAGAAGTTGAAGCAGCTCATCAAGACTCACGCTGAAGCGTAGTTGAATCGATCGTTGATTGAGTCAAACGGGTTAAGCAGATTCCTTGATTCATCCGGGCATTTGCGCTCCCGAAAATGAATCAATAAATTCCTTTACCACCCCAAAAAAAATCTGTTCCCTTCGGCCTCTCGTACTGGGTTCCTTCCGGAGGAGGCGGGGCAGGCTGAAAAAGTCATGATGATGATGTTGCCAGGCCCGGATAGAAACTTCCCGCACTACGCTGTCTGAATACGGAGAAATGTCTAGAACAGGAGAACGAAGGCGTCTCGTGGAATTCTCAAGCATCCGAATGAGGATGTCACATGATCAGCGGGGGCGCCAGAATGAATTCAGGAAGCTGGAGCTTCGTACGACCCGGATGTCATGGAGCTCAGCTCCGTCTTCGCTCTGGTCATCCATCGGTTCCCTTATCGACCGTCTTCGAACGGTCAACCATTCCGACTTCGCGAGGACGACGCGGAATTCGAAAAACCCCAGATTGGTCACAAAATCTTGCCTTCGGAAATTCAGAAAATAATCCTCCCGAGATCTTGCTTGAGACGAACTCTGTTTCCGTAGGTATGACGTGTGATCGAAAATTCGTATCTGATTCCGAATAGACCCTGGACCCCAGGCTCTTGACTCATGTCTGCAGGTAAATCGTGAACCATATATGAGTTATGCCCAGGCTTGTACTCGCTTCAGTGAGTTACCCCGAGAATTCACTGGAGATCTTCAAGATGGGTGCCAGTCGGAGCGAGACCGGATTCCGTTCGGCAATCTGCAGCATCGCATGAGAGAGCGGCTACCGCCGCTACTGCTCGTCGTCAATCCCATGGATGACCGTTTTTACTTTTTTCTTACCGTTTTACGAGTTTTCGCCCTGAGGACTACGCGGCCCATCGAGCTCTGACTGACTTCCGTCCAGGGGATTCCTGGCTTTTGAATCGGAACCCGATGCAATGAGCAGCTCATCTAGGAAGGGTACATCGGTTTACTACGCTCCTCTCCGGCTTCAGGATATCTGACTTACCTCACATCTCAGTGATAGATTGAATAACGATACGCCTGTCTCATTCTGAGGGAAGCGAACATTGCGAAGTCAACTGACTCGACGAAGGCATTCATCGGTCAACCGGTCTAGCCTAGCCAGACATATGTATATGTACTACATCCTTGATCTGACGGCTCATCAGTAGAGAGGAATCGGCTGAGCGTGCCTGATCGAGAATTTCTCTCTGAGGATCTGCGAGCGTCCCGCGATGGATATCCTCGTCGTTAGTCGAGTGAAAAGACCCGATTTGATAATTCTCGTCCTGATATGTCACCCTGTATTTTGTCGTCGCTTCGCCGTGATTACGACAGAAAAACGCTTCGAACTCTCCCTACTCAGTAAGAGTTCTCAGCGGGGATTCCAGGTTTTCCCTCGGTGCTCCTCTCGGCCGTATGAATCAGCACTATTCTCACACAGGGTTTTCGGTACGCCATCGTGAAAAAGTCGGAAAACTTGCTGAGCGCCATTTTGGAAGAGACAGGGGGTGTCATCTCATCGCTGCAATGGTCCCATGTGCGCCCGACAGCAGTCGCGAGAAGCTCCGCGTGGACAGACGAGATTTGTGAAGCTCCAAAATCTGGTTCCGAGGTTCGAAATCTGGGCGCGTCGTGAACACAAATCCCGAGACTCTGAAGCATTCTCTGAGGAGCCTTTCTGGTGGCTAGCCGATGAGCCGGTTTCCCATGAACTACACTCAAGAAGCTATCCGCGAAGATGGATGACGTTCTTCCACCTCGACACGTATCTGCTCTCCCATGTCGACGCGACAAGAACTCCCGCGATACAAAGACCGCGGTCTTCGATGTGAGCTTTCTCGACACACTTCCTCTCCTGTCGTCATTCAAGGAGGAGATTTCCTGAAACTCCTCGTCGAGATCGAGGAAGATCTACGAACGACACTCCTGGTCCTGCGACTGCATCGTCCCGAGCTCAGCGACGAAAACTTCGTAGGAATCCGTGAAAATCTCAGAAAGAAGCTCATTTCGACATCCGATTAAATGGAACAATTCGGGTGTGGGCCCGCATCTTCGCCATGCATGAGACTTCGAGCCGAGATCGAGCTTCGGAATCCAACGGAAGACGAAGGTCGAGCACATGCCTGCAGCTTCTAGCATCAGCATCGCGCCTTGCGGCGTCTCTCCGAGGTTTCGCCCAGAAGTCTTCTTCGAACGGTAAGTGGATTGAGGGACACGACCGATCCGAACGCGCTGCGTAGAGCCGCCATGGCCAACAAGTTCCTCGCGGAGAGGTACTTGGCTTAAATGCTCGACGTTCTGCCGTCTAGTCCACGGCATCGTATCGTCCCATCAATACTTATGCAAAAATACCAGGCTCGGATACCTACCCTCCGTTCAACGTAGTTCTTCAGGCCACCGAACAATGCTTTGCCCAAGATCTAGAGGCCTCGGAGAGATTCACTCTTGCGCACAGGGTAGACATCTTGGGGCTTGTAAAAGGAAAAATGCTGCTTTCCGAGCAGACCATCGTCTGGATGGCCTCTAGCCGCTGCCTTTCCACCACCTCTTCCGTTCGTTTGAAGCTGGCTTCCGGAGAAGGTGCCCTCGAGATCCACTGGGAGAGCTCGAGCACTCCGTCAATGCGATTCTTCCGCTCGATATAGCTCGAACTCGTCAGGGAGAGCTGAACTTTGATCGAATCCGAGATTCAGAGGTTTCGGAAGGAAATTCATGCCCTTGATTCACCTCCAAAGTCAAGCCCCCCAAGGTCTAGTACGAGAATATCCTTTCCAGCCTGGATCGATAGGCGGCTTCTCCAGCGGATCTACGCGAAACGGGAATTGTCTCGATTATTACGAACGAGATATATTATTTGTCAAGATTATTCATTGTAGAATAAACGATTGAATATCTGATTGGCGTCTGATTGGTCTCAATCTTCTGGGTTTCTCCGAGCCCATATTTGCCAATGATGACATGATCTGGGCGATTGCTCGAAGTCCCTGTAAGTTGGGTTGCATTGGATCATCGATTCACGCCTGCGGTCATTGTGTGCTAGCCAAGATGAAGATCTCATACTGACTGCAAACCGAGAGGTCAAGAGCTTCTGCTCAATGCGACGTCATATACACACACTGATACGGATCTAACGCGACCTCAACGAGATTGCTTGAGGGGGACTCGCCTCACAGAGCACGCACAGATGTCTTTCCGCTCCGGGCTCCCTACCCTGTGGCTCACCAAGAATCTCTCTGCTTCGATCTCTTCGTTGCGGCTACCGTCGATTGGAGGGCCGTTCCTCGAGCGATTGGAGGGGGGTGGAGGTGGAAAGGGGGCTCGCCTGCCTAGGGAGCGCGTAGCTTGCCCCTGCCAATGCTTGAGCTGAAGGCGCCCCAGCTCAAGAGGGGGAGGGGGCCTCGAGAGGAAGACTGCGAAAAAGATCTTAAACCACTGCTCTATGCGACGGAGCGCGGGAACATTCTCACAGAAATGTTTCAAGCACCGTGATTAAACGACTGAGTCCACTTATATTTCCTGCACAGAACGGCAAGAGACTTCGTGCAGCCAATCACGACAATTTCTGCAGCGGGTCCTTGACGTTATACTCCAGCACAAGGTCCCTCAACTTCGTCGGCGGAAAGCCTTCAATGACTCTCCTCAGCTCCTCTGGTTTTCCTTGTACACATTGCGCCGTCAGAGCTGCTTGCAAGATCTGGACGAAGCGCTCAATCTGCAACTCGCTTGGTTTCTCCAGGGCCTCGAACAGCGCAACGAAGTTATCGACCTGGAATGGAACGGACGTCGTTCTCACTCAGACTGTCTGCGCGTGTTGGGACGGGGATGTATCGCAAGTTCCGAGGTATTCTAGTTATTAACCTGGATAATTCCCTGCGGTGCCTTGAGGATAATTTTCAGCAGTGCCAGATGCAGTCTGTTCGTTACCGAAGCGTCGGTCTCAGAATTCGGATCCGTGAGAACTATCCACCTAATCAGCCCCGGTACGAAGGTCTGTGCCGTGGGCATGACCGTCTCGAGAGGGACGTAGCTGAGATAGAGGTTTTCCTCGAGCCATGTGGCTAGGAGCTCTAGTAGAGCCTTGGGCGGGAGACGCATGGAGTATATGAATGTAGTGGCGGTCACAAAAGTCGCGCAGAACGCTGGACTCGTGTTGACCAGCAGCGCAGGTTCATGGCTGAGGCACGGAGAGGTGCCGCTTTCGAAGAGATCTCGCAGCAAATATTCGACCAATTGGAGGGAAACGGTAGTCTTGATGCCGACGACGTGAAACCAAAAAGCTGCGCAGTCCAATATGGTGTCGACCTTCGCGTGGGGGAAAAATGCTTTAGCGGACCTTCAGAGGCAAGCAATAACTTCGGAAAACAATACTATCGTTCAGATCACCTTCAGAGTTACGGCCAATGATATGAGCCGTGTTAGTATCGGCATTCGCTGATCCAACAAGCGTTTATCTGTCGGTGGGAACATGACGAAAAATAGGTTCCTGCAAGACTCTTGGGCACAGGTTTGGAACGATGCGCAGATCAAGTCCAGAATTTGTATTTCTCTAATTGCAGATAGTTTCTTGCGTTTCTTCTCGAAAAACACGAATTCCTCGAGCACTTCGTTACACACTTGCACGACCTGCGGAAAAGATAAGATTCTCTTGAGGGACTGGGGATTCTTGAGCGGAGATGCTCATCTTTCGTCGCTCCGAGGAGCTTCGCTCGTTCCATTTTCTGTGCAGGAGACCATGACGAACCTGTTGCGGGACGCTCATGCCGACGAAATTCGCCAGGATCTTCTGTAGTTGGCCGATCGCCTCTATTGCAACAGTCGGGAACTCTTGTTTCCGCAGAAGCTTCTTTATGTCGGAAGCGATTTCAGTCGTCATCGCGACGCCGCCTGTCGAACGTCAGGCAACGGAACTTTGACGGGAAAGTATCAGATACGAGCACGAAAGACAGGAGTCGACTTTCTCCTCTTAATGCAGAGAGAACATTTGCTGTCCCCCCAAAAACTCTCCTCGGCCTTGTCGAGGACTAATTCTGGTCTCCGTCAGCTTCCGATTGATGGAGACATCTCAAACCCCGAAGCCGCATACTGTCATCTCACATTCACCACGACAGGACTCCTCAAAACTTGCAGATGAACTATCAGAGGCAGAAGCCGGCGTGGTTGAAACGAGCTATCTGCGGAGGAACAAGTGCTCGAGCGCGCCTGATTCTGTTCGACGTGAGCTCGGATTCGGACGGTTCGATTTCACGACCGCTTATTGAGAAAGCGCGAAATCGGCGAGGAGGAGGGGTGGACAAAAATCTCGCGGGTAACTCCGAGAACATGAGTACTCAATTTTCGACGAGAGAGAGTGTGCAGGCATTCGGGGCGATGATCTTTGCTGAATGCCGGGACCGGGCCGTACCACCAGGCAGCGTTTCCGCCCTCAGGGAATGGACTTTATCTCTCTCGACGCTGATGGTGACTCCGGGCCTTCTCCAAAGACAGGGAATGATTCCGGATGCACCGCTAAAGGACCTGTTGGACGAGAGCTTGTTAGCCTCGTCGAGAGGCGCGCTCGGAATTCCACTCAGCCGGCGGAGCTGTAAAATCTCGTATTTTGAGCGTCCCGACGAGCAGGAAGCCGGCGCCCGATACCATTCAGAAGGATCCTGATCAGCATGATCCATGGCGACCCAACCTTCTTTCAGGGAAAGAAGTGCTGCTATAAACCGAATGCCCGAGTCGAGAAAACTCGTTCGGTGTTCCCGCTGCAGAACCTTGTCACGATTGGTCCTCTTACCTTACAGCGATACTCTCAGCACAGCGGACGGCTCCCCCTTCATCAAACGGCTGACTACTTGCCGACTTAATGGTTCAACGAACCTGACGAAGCTGAAATTCTCCATGAAGAACATCCTTAGCCTGCGCCGGAATGTTCGCCGTTACGAGCCTGTATCTTATTGCCTATAGGTTTCTGTTCTCTGAGAATCTTGTATGCACTCGAGAGAACTCGAGAAGCTCTCCCTCGAGCGTCGACTAGATGCCGCACCCGGTATCAGGGGGCCGCTCGGCGTCACGCTGCGCGAGAGAGCGTCAATTCAGCATCGAGTCCGAATTGCTTTACGACGAGCGCGCTAGGAAGAATCGCTCTTGCTCTCGCAACAGAAAAGTCATTTCACAGAGCGCAGCGTTCATTTCCCGAATCTCTCGCACCTCGGGCCGAGCCTGATCGCTGCCGTTTGCTCTACCCGATCGTGGTCTATCTCATCTCCGCTGGAGGACTGTATCCCCGTGGATTCGATAGTTTACATTTGCTCGGGGCGGTGGATGTTCACTTCAGGCTGCGGATTGTTGAGGCTGTCTCCCTCACCGACTGACTGTGTATGGTTTCTACAATCGCGGGGCGCACCGGGACAGAAATGAATTTTCGCCTGCATTTGAAGAGCCAAGGATCAAATCGCCGCATGTCTGTAGGAGCTCGTATTGCGGAAGTAGGGAAACGAAACCCTCGATTTCTTCCAAGTCACCATGTCTCAGTAGGTTTTCGGAAGTCCGCTGCCGGACTTGGATTCCAGAATGTGAAGAAAAATTGCATGGGCTCACAAAGACCATCGCCACCCGAGAAAAAAACCTTCTCTCTCGTCTGACCGGCGTGAGTATTTGACACTGGTAGGGATAAGCCGATTGTCGCGTAAATTTAGGTCAAATTATCCCTCGCGACGCTAACGCTACAGCGATGGTGGATTCCCGACGATGGGCGCCCGAGATTGAATGCTATACAACTTATATAAGCCAGAGATGATTTGTGCCGTACCCTCTGCAGAGCTTTCACTTTCTACGAGCTAGCGTCAACTTCAACTAGCTTTATGCGTATATCGTCTCCGATTGAGTCAGCAAGCTCATCGCGTCCCGGCGACAGCTCTCACAGTCCGACGGGCAATAAGCGAGATTTTGCAGCAATCGAAAACGATTTGGAAGACGAGGAGTCGATCTTGCTCCAGATGTTCAACGGAACCGTCAAGCCGAGGTCTTCCCTAGGTGCTTTCTGATCCTTTCCGGCCGCAAGCAGGGGGATTTTTCACGGGATAGTGTCACTCTTGATCACAGAAGTCAATCATTCTGGCTTTATTTCAAGACAACATTGCACCCGTAAAGCCGAATGACACGCGAATGCTTACCGCAATAAGTTTGGATAGTCCCAAGGGCATTATCACTCGTCAGCGTAAGGCGAGACAGTTCATCGACTCACGACCCGATCGAAGCCCCCCTTTCGAGGTTCGCCACGTGCCTTCATTGATGGTACCATGCGTTGAAGCAATGCGTGGATCATTGAGTACACGATACCCCACTACCTGTCGACGTCTCGTCTCCGGAATAGGCCGGGGAAAGCGAATCCTCCTTGACTTCCTAACTTAGGGTCCCTAAGACGACGACAACAATCGATAGGCGAGCGTCGCAAAGCAAGGAGCAATGAAGCGAGAAGCAACCTTGGGCTCCCGCTCGACTGCGGGACTCCAGTTCGCTAGATTGCCGCGAAAGCAGCCCTTCTTGTTTTTCCGTCCTGGTTGCCATCGCATCCACGCTCGAGCATGACATGAAGAGGGCTGCACGCAACTCTCAAGGCGAGTCGGCCGCCCGCTGAACGAGTAAACGACTTCCGGAGGCGTGACAAGCCTTACTAAACTCGCGTCTTCTCAACCGAATTCCTACGGGAGCGAGGAGTGAAAGGGAATGTTCTCGGGAAAAACGCAGCTTGAGGCAGGTGGCACCCAGCATTCCGTGCGTTCGAGGCCCTTCCGCTGCTTAGCGACACCTCTCGTTCCTTACGTCAAAGCTCTGACCGTGACGTGGCTCGACTCGGTGTTGAATACAGCTTGCTCATATCCGGGAACTTGCCAGGAGATTCGCAGCTTTCGGTTCGTAACAGATCTCGCTTCGAAGTATTCTCAGGGGACCGCCCGGTTCCGACCGAGTTCGTAGGCAAAAACCATGGTTATCATCGTCTTCGATGCCACAGGGTACTCTCCAGAGAGCATGCTCCAGTCTGCATTCGCCGACAAGCCGTGTTGCCCCCAGGCGAGAACCCGCCGGTGAGATATCCATGGGGAGCCGTTCAATCGTCTCGTCATGGGAAATAAGCCTCCCGCTACCGGAGGGCGACGGAATCTGAGCACACGTTCCGAGACTTAGCTTGCGGCAGAAAAATTGACGGGCGCCCTGGTGTTCTATTCCAGCTCATACTTCTGCAACTTTCCCGAAGTCTTCAGAGAATCCGATTCGTCAATCAGACTACTCTTACGAAAATGTGAGTCTCCCGATGCTTGCCGTTACACTCCGTCGAGCCTTACGCGGCACCTGTTGAGCTCACTCGCTGAATCAGGCAGATTTCTCGAACCTCGGGAACTCCGCCGGAGTCGTTAGCTTGCTTCGATGACATGATGCTCATTCTCGATGCCATCTGACGGAAAACTTCTGGAAATGATCTTCCCCCTTATCAATTCATGACCTTCGAGATATCCAGGCTAACTGTCATTTCATTGCATCCGGAAGGAGGGGCAGACTCGGAGCAGGCAAGGCGAGCTCCACAACCACGTCAGGGTAAGCGAATCACGTGTCAACACTGCCTCGTCTATCGGTGTACCATACTTGCCAGACGAGTCTTGGGGCTGGGTGAACTTGGGACCTGTGTCTTGAAGTGTCTAAGCTCGATGGATGAACCCAAGAACGAAGAGGACTTTTGGAGGCAATGCTCAACCGTTGCTAGGAAATTTGAGTCGACTCGTTCCAAGAGTCTTTCGGCCCGGCTAGAGCGTGGGGCGGCAACCTGAATCATTGTGTTCCATCCTGCATTCGCTCCGTGTGGCGATGGCTGTGCCCACAAGAGCTCGTAGGTATTTTCTTGCCATCAATCCCGGAGAACCGAGAAACCGAGCGACCCGTCTCACCTCCGCATCGGTGCTCATCTTTCGAGCGTGATGATACCGGATCAGAGATTTACTCTTCACTTGATCTCTAGCTAGAAGATAGTTGCCTCGCAGAGATCACGCAGCATCAAAACTACAGAGAATACCTTTCTTCCCCTTGTCCCGGCAATGGAGTGATTTTCCTGGAAGTTCCCATTCGGTGCCTTGAGCATAACCTTTAAAGCTTCACAAAATTTCAGTCAGCAAACCTTGACCGTGACCGACGACAACTCATATTGGGACAGTGGACAGTACGTGCGAATTGATTCACATCTCCGGAGCTGTAGTGCCGTATTCTCCCTACGGGTCTTTCTCTCATGTCCACTACTGTCGTCAGCCATCGGAACTTTCGAATGATCTTCTTGCTGTGGAGCATAGCCTCGATTCGCGACCTCGTAGATCCCTATTGGCCCGGGACCTCCGTGTGTCAACACTCGAGGCGCTCGGGGCACAGTCCGTCGGGGTATTCTCCGAGTTATTTAACGAGAGAGAACAATCGAACGACGTGAATGTCATTTCGTCATGCCTCTTCGGAGCCATTAGCCCTCGAGGAAGTGGGAAGGGGATCTGGGGGCCATCAATCTATCTTAAATGTATAGTGCGAGGATTGCATGTTAGTCTGTTATCTATGTTCTTCGGATTGTGCCGGTGCTGGTGCTACTGCTGCTGACGATGCTTGCCAATTGAACAGGTGTCCATCATCGGGACTCCAGAGCTCCTCATCGGATACACCGAGAGATGGAACAGAGAACGGATTGCCACAATCGTGAGTGAATCTTCCAGAAGTTGTGGAGAAGAGCTACTCCCCAAGCGAGACGCCCGATACTTCGGTGAATGCCACCAAATAATTAATTCATTAATTCAATTTGTCCATAGGAGCGCCGATAATCAGACGCCGACGGATGACTCGTGAGTGTTCGCTTATTTTTCGGGACCACCTTTTGCCCTCGATCAGGAACTCTTTGTTTGAGCCAACTTACGTCGCTTTTTCAGGGACGATTGGGCTCCACCACCGTCAGATTCGTGAGTAGGGCTCTAAATCTTTGACTCAAGCTTTGTATTATATTGACCAGGGAAATGATTCACTGTCATTTCTCTGCTTCTCGAATTGGTCCTGATCACCTGTTGCGAGATGCGAATGAGAATTATCGCTGGATTTCAGCGATGCATTTTCGGAGCCGCAATCCAATGGGTGAGTTTCCCTCCTACGCCCCAGTCAAGGGGCTTGCGTTCATTAAGAGTGCCGTCGATGCTTGAAGGTACGGGAAATAATGATCCTGTCCAATTTTTTCTCGACAGAGACTTCTTCGACACAACGAACCAGTGAGTGACTTTACATCGCTCTACATATGAACATACATATGAACTTATTTCCCTCGAGAGCGTGTCCACTGAGGCGAGTCTGTGATTTTCCTCGACAGGGGGAACAGCTACGAAAATTCAGTCTCTGGCAGAGGTAGGTGAGCAGGGCTCTCGAGTTTCGGCCCATCTCCGAATAGTGATTTTGATCCTTGATAATGATAATCTTCGAAGCCTCCTTGCTCCATGTTTCTTATCTCTTTCCGCAGGATGCATTCATTGCAAGGGACCGCATCCACCGAGCGAATGCCCTTCGCGTAGGTTTGCCTGTGTGCCGTGAGAATTTCTGGCTGGAGAGCTCCTCTCTTTTGATTGAAGCATTCACCCCAGGAACTTAATTCGTTTGCTTTCCTGCTCCAGGCCCGAAATCGGGAAATTGCTTCTGCTGCCGCGAGTCCGGGCACATGGTCAACGAATGCCCTTGTAAGAAGATTTGATTTTCTCTCATTGGTTATTCACTCTAAGCCAGGGGTGTCAGACTTCCTTTGGCGGGCCACATTAGAAATTTACTTTCGTATGAAAAGAGAATATATGTCTATCGTCCATGGAAGGATGCTTTTCAAGCTCCCGGAGATCGAGGGAAAAGTCGTTTGTTCGGTTTCACTGGGGGATTCTTCCCACCGATCTCATTCAATTTCCAAGCACTCATCCGAAATGGTCGGCTTCGAGTGTGGGGAAATAGTGGCGGGCCACAGAAAAGGACCTCGCGGGCCTAGTGGCTTCGACACCCCTGCTCTAAGCGAAAAGTGTTCACTCTCTGAGTTAGAGAACGTGGGAGGCCAGTGCATATTCTTCTCAGAGCTTAGCACGATACCTCTATTGCTCGACAGCTCGAAACGGTCAAAGACAGAGACCTGACAGCAGACAGTGCCACAAGTGCGGAAGAACAGGACATATCGCGGAGTATTGCTCCCAAAGTGAGTCGACTTTGGAATATCGACTCTGAGCTCACAAATTTTGCAAATCCTGTTGATATCTACCTCTCACAGTCGGATGATTGCTTTCGAATCACCCTTTCTAGGCGCCTCGGAACGCTCATCCGGAAATTGTGCGAATTGTGGCGGCAGAGGTCATTCCGCCATGCAGTGTCCCTCGCCCGCGCTTACGGCTGGACGAGGGGACGGCTTCCATTATGGTACGTCTCCGAGCGACGAGCAGCGGGCGCATACATATCCGCCGGGGCTCATTGACCATAATCGAGGTTCTAGCCCTTGATCATTGAGCCTTCGGAATCTCGCCGATCTTTCGAATCGCTCTGAACATGAGTCCAAGCATCCGAACTGGGATCCTCGTTCCGAGCTAAGAACCCCAACGACTTGTTCGATTCCAGAGAACGGCTCATCTGGGGAGGCACAAGGCGGTTTTCAATCGGCACGAGCTGGAAACCAAGCGCCGGTCGACGCAGTTTGTCGCTCTTGCCAAGAAACGGGACATTTCTTCCACAACTGCCCCAAAAGGGTGGGTGCAAAGGATGAAGCCCCCAGCACCGGACCGTATTGCCCCGTCATCGAAACTACAGAAGAAGAAGCAGTGAACCGGAATAAGACCGGGATTAACTTCGATCAATACGATAAAATTGATGTCACCGTTTCGAATTCGCGAGGGCAAGAAACCAAGGAATACGAGACGAAGAAATTGGATCGATTCCAAGACGGCAACCTTGACGCGCGCCTGATCGAGATGATCGAAAGATTGGGCTTCGAAAAACCCACGCCGGTCCAGAGATATTCGCTCCCTATACTTGCCGACGGCAAGGACCTGATGGCATGCGCGCAGACGGGATCGGGCAAGACTGCCGCTTTCGTATTGCCGATGGTTAACATGTTAATTCGGCAGAATTGCTCCTTCGAACGGAACACGCGGCCGCAGAAGCCATTCGCTCTGGTCCTTACACCAACAAGAGAGCTAACAGTTCAGATCACGAAAGACGCTCAAGCGTATTGCGTCAGGACGGACATCGCCGTCAAGGAATGTTACGGTGGCACGGGGCGAATGACTCAAGCGAAGAACATCGCCAGGGGCTGTCATTTGCTAGTGGGCACGACCGGGAGAGTCCTCGACTTCCTGAACGATGGTATCATCTGTTTGTCTAGACTGCGTTATCTCGTCCTAGACGAAGCCGATCGAATGCTCGATTTCGGTTTCCAGAACGCTGTCGATGAGATCATGCAACATCCAAGCCGGAATCGAAATAGCACGATCCAAACGCTGATGTTCTCGGCGACTTTCTCGACGTCAGTGCAAGACTTGGCACGCAAATACCTGAGAGAGGACTTTGTCAAACTGGATGTCGGAGTCGTCGGAGCGGTCAACTCCGACGTTTCTCAGAGTGTCCTGGAAGTGCCTAAAGCTGAAAAGAAGCTTCGTCTCCTTGATTTAATTCGAGAGGAAATTGATCGAGATGCGAAAACTAGAATCCTCGTCTTCGTCGAGACGAAGCGAGATTGTGATTTCATCGCCATGTTCCTCAGCTCATCGAAAATCAAAGCGACCTCAATACACGGCGATCGCCTTCAAGATCAGCGGGAGAAAGCTTTGAAGGATTTCCAAGAGGGGGACTGCCCTGTATTAGTGGCGACATCTGTGGCTGCTCGTGGCCTAGATATATCTGGCGTAAGCCACGTGATCAATTACGATTTGCCGACAGAAATTGATGAATACGTCCATCGAGTCGGCCGAACCGGACGGGTAGGCAACAAAGGTCGTGCAACGTCCTTTTTCGACAGCTTCCGAGACAACGCAATTAGAGATGATCTTAGACGGTCGATCCTGGACGGGGGAAGTGAACCTCCGGACTTTTTATAGTTTCTCACTCGGTCTCGCTGGCGCTCCAAGTCACGAAAGGTACGCTGCACACTTCCTATTTTGCATTCCCTCGGAGTCTCGAAGCTGCGACCGGTAGGAAGTTCTGTTCCACGGAGGAATGAGATTCTTATGCGCTAGGCTGTTCTCGTGACGCTTATGTCATCATGATATCAAAAGGCGATCGTTTGAGTGAAATGCATACCTCTGGGGAGAGCTTTCTCGGGGCCGTTGGGGACTCCGTTATCTCGGAAGCTTCATCTCCAAGTTTTATCGCGCGTTCCCGAAAGGAGTTCACTGGATCAATAAAAGAATTTTTGGGACCTTGCTCGCTTTCAATATCCGCATGGTCGGATGTGAAATCATTACAGGATCTTCTCGAGACGAGGACATTGATCACGTGCTCGCTGATTCGCCGGTCCAACATGATTCCTCTCCCTTATCAACCGAAAGGACGTTTGGTTCCAAGGGGAAAGCACGCTTTCGAGCAGAGCACGCTTTGCCCGGCGATTTTCCGAGGCCCGAATTTCTCCTCGAGGTTCTCTGTAGCGAAACGGAGCTTCGGAACGAATCCACGGAATTGCAAGACTTATCCTTTGAGGCCGCAACTCCCACGAATCTCTGGTCTCTCGACCGCGGTCTCCATAGCTCTCACAGCTGTTCCGCCGACAGCTGGGAGCCAGGAAATGCTTCGAAAACGAGAAGTGAATGTTCTGATATTCGACGCAAGGTTCCTAGATCGACCGCTTCCGAGGGAGACATACGGATGGCCCATGAGCCCATACGGATGTCGAGCGAAGAACTCTTGGATCCCAAAAAGTGTTTTCTCCGCGTAAGCCTATAGAATTCATGGTACGCGAGAAGCACTCGCTGCCCCATGTGGGCCTGATTTGACTCACGTTTAACCCCCTGCGAAGTCCAAGCCGGTGCCGTCCAGTGTGTGAACAAGCATATGATGAAGTATTCCGATGGACGGTCGTTGAACGCTCCTCAACCTTCTGTGAGCTCAGTAAAGATCATCATTCTCAGGCATCAATTTTTTTATAAACCACTTGTAATCGGTCTGCTACCCGGGACGCGGCCGCAGAGCGGTTCTTCCCGGACGGATTTCCAATCGACTCCTGGAATCTTCCATCGGAAAAGGAGTTCCGTGAGCCTCTGGGGCGGGCCTCCGCTGCTAAGAAGCGCGTTCCCGAGGAGAGGCGACCCCTTCTTCCGAGAAACCGTATGTCTAGAATGACGTGTGTCTCCCGGTCAGAATCCTGACAACGTGATTCCAGTCCGACCTGATGTCCCCACTCCTCCGCCTCTGACCAAGCCTCAGTCACATGAGCGAGCGTTGGGATCGATCCTCGCGGACCTGACGATTCATTATCTGGCGATCAGATACTTCACATGATGTCCGGAAAATTACCACGATCTGTTCACCGAAGTTCTGGATGAGTTCTATATCCTCTACCATGTGCTAACGTCGAAGTTTCCGTGGCATCTACACGGAATCTGAATTAAAACACACGCTCCGGAAGTTAGAACACGATGGCGGAGGATAAGAAGAACGTTCCATGTGAGTCCTTTGACAACCTACTCGATTCGAAAGCTTGAAGCGGGGTCTACGGTCGAGCCCGAGATAGCGTTTTATCGTCCGGACTCTTTTGATTCGTTCGGTATTCAGGGGGAGCCACTATTCGTAGAGCGGCGTCACGTCAGTCTCAAAATATGGATATGCTCCTCGATCAATATCCGGTGGACGCTGAGCTGATTGAACGAGAAAAGCATCAGGATCTGAAGCTGCCATATTTTATTTGTATTGTAAAGGAAGTGATTCATGAGCTCCTCTATGATCCATGATCTCGGCTTGTTGTACACTTGGATGCGCTACCCAGCTCCGAGTATACGTATTCATCCCCGCAGCCTGCTCTCGAATGCGGGCGATCAGGTCACGCTCGTAACTTTCCATGATGAGGATTTCATAAGTAAATTTTCACGTCGTTGCTACACTGCAGAGTCTTGATATCAGAAAGAGCTCGCAGCCAGTCGTGTTCATGCGCTTCCCGTGGCTACCGCTGTTTGATCCGTGAAGCTCCACGATGACTCTTGGGGGAGAGAGCCTCCCGATCGGTGGGACAAAAAATCTGGACACTGCTCCTAACATCCTGCCCGCTCAAACGTAGAACACTGCTCGCTGACTAGGTCAGCATCCCCGCGTGGATGTATTGGAGTTTGGTGAGAAAGGCGAGGAACTACGACGATCCTATGCTTCCATTTCAGATGACTTGTCACGGCGCAGTGAGCGGTCAACTGAGGAAATTGTCCCTCTGTTTTGTTTCTCGTGCGGCCGAACAGGCCATAATCACGAAGGATGCTCCAAAGGTAATCAATTTGAGCCCTCGATCCATTACCAAGCGAGGGGAGCAATCGGCGCTCCTCCTCCGATGTCACCCGATACACCGATTCTTCATCGAATGACCCGCTCTGGGTATTCAATCGAGAAATCTGTGCACGATAGATACCTAGTTAGATAGCCTTGACTATCACTGATGTCTTCGATGAGGTATTCACTATGTAAAATCGAAGTGGCCTACTTCGGCTAGTAGCTCCGCCTCCAGGCTGGATCTTCCGACTTCTTTGGGGGATTCCGATCTCGTCGAATTACTCCACCGCACCCAAAGGACTCTTCGTACAATAGACAGTCATTACAGGAAGGCCGGGCAGCGGCTCCTCGCTCGATGTGACGCAGTCATACGCTGGAGGAACTCCGGCATCTGTCGATCCACCCTCGCAACCAAGCGGAGGCACAAGCTGTCCCAGCCCCTCATCGGTTGGGATTAAACCTCCGCGGCGGAAACCATCTAAGAAAGCCACGAAAAGTACAACCCACGAAGAATTGGAAAAGCTGTATCGGACAGGAGAAGAAAGTCGCAATCCTGTCGGCGAAAGTGTCAAACTGTACAACGAGCAAATAAGCATATCTGACCCCAACTTCCGTGACATAAAAGCGGAATCCTTCGAAGAATGCGGATTGCATCCCGACATACTCAAGGTATTGAAGAGTATGCAATACGAGAAACCGTTCCCGGTACAGAAGTATGCGATGAGCATAATCCAATCCGGTAGGAATCTCAGAGCGAGCGCCTGCACTGGCACCGGGAAAACTGCTGCTTTCCTGCTGCCGATTATCAATAACATCCTGAAGAGAGACATCCGCTCCTCGAAGGAGCTCCCCCAGCGTCCGAAAGCGCTGATAATCTCTCCAACGCGCGAGTTGGCTCAGCAACTGTTCAATGATGCGACCAAGTTTACTGCTTTTACCGACGTGAAGGCGAAGCTTTGCCACGGGAAAACCAGCGTCGATCAAGAAACTCAGAGAATCAAGTCAGGAGTGAACATTCTGATCGGGACCCTGGGTAGAACTGTCGACCATCTTCGGCGGGAGACAGTCGCCCTCGATGAGCTCGGATATCTGGTATTCGACGAGGCGGATCGCATAATGGAGGAGGACTTCGCGGAAGAGTTCGAGGATTTCAAGCGATTCTTGGAGAAATCCGGTTGTCGACCGCAAACACTCATGTTTTCAGCAACTTTCGCTGACAGTGTCATGAGCAAGATAAAGTCATTATTAGCCGATCACGTCGTCCTGCGCGTCGGAGTCCAAGGTACCGTCAATGAAGACATAGACCAGAATGTAGTCGCGGTCCCGGAAGATGAGAAGAGAGAGAAGCTCCTGGAAATGATCATCGCTGGACCGACGGATAAAACACTCGTCTTCGTGAGGTCAAGGGAACGCGCTGACATGCTCATCGACTATCTGTTCCGGAACGAGATTCGAGCGAACGTGCTCCACGGCGAACGGTGAGAGTCACAACGGAGAAGGAATCTATACAACTTTTCATAGTGTCTGCATATAAGTGACTCTGGCCAATGTTTTTTCTCCTCCCGCAGGGATCAGTACGAACGCACAAAAGCTCTGAGAGAGTTCAGCGATGGGAGCGTTTCCATATTGGTCGCAACCTGGTTAGCCAACCGAGGTTTAGACATAAGCTTGGTGAACCACGTCATAAACTATGATTTACCGAATACGATGGAGCAGTACATTAACTGTTTGGGGCGCACAGGACGAGTCGGGAATAGAGGACGAGCAACTTCATTCTTCGATCCACGTTTCAGTGAAGATATTGCGATGGCACCCGCTCTCTGTCGGAAACTCCTAGAAGGTGGAGCTCCCGCGATTCCAGAATTTCTGAGAGTCGAATAGTTTGCCGCTTTCCCAGCTGATCCGCCCCACCATCTTTCCTTTAAGTTTCAATAAATCCCAAAGATTCGTATTTCCATCGGGATCGGTGCCCATCCATCGAGTGCTTGGTTTCGATAATTTTCGTGTGATAGACGCAGTTCCGATGCACAATCCTCTGTGTGAGTGAATGGTCCACTCTACGATATATACATAGTGCATCCAAAAAGAGCGCTGCGCTCTAGGGACTCGTCCTCGTGCCCAAAAGATGCATTCAGCGTAAACATTGGTTTACAGCTTCCTGAGTAAATCATGCTCGACCCAGATGAGTCGAGGCCGCGGAGCCAGAGACACCGGCGCATGATGATGCGTCCGGAGTTGAGACCCCGTTTCCGATTCCACCGAACAGGCATCGAGGAACCAGGAAATCAAAGACGCTATCCGATCATCTAAAAACGGGAGCTAGCGATCTCTTGCTCGTGGACTTCCTGATTTCTTGTGTTTTGTGCAGAATTCCCTCCCCACTAGTCCTTCCGAAGTACTCGAGGGGCGCCCCCTCATTCAGCGAACCCCTCTAGAAAGGAAGCATGATCTCTGTAAAGATTAGGAGGCTCAAAGGGTTTATGATGGAAGCGCGACACCAATACGCGGGAGGAACCCGCAGAAAGACGGCACCGCGACGGAACCGATTCGAATCGTCGGAACTTGCGCCCGCGATTGGGGAGCAGCCGGAGCTGCCCGCTGCGGGGAAAGTGCGTCTATCCACGGTTGGAGTGACGGAGAGAAGACCCCGGAGCCGAATATCGAAACGAAAACCGAAATGCATTTACGCTCGGGAAGAAGAAGCTCCTGAGCATCGAGCGGACACGCGTTTCTGTGCTTTCGTCGGGAGCTCGCTCCCTCGAACCAGCAAAATATCACACTATTATTATTATCATTATTATTATAAGTACTCATTATCACTACTTATGATTATACTATTAGGACCCGCCTATAACAGCTGTGCGTATAGGAGTAGCCCGAGAGATGAGCATCAACACTACTTCAAGGTCGATGTGAAGGACAAGCGGCTGCATCTCAAGGTAAGGATAAAACCTTTCCGCTAAGTGTTGAGATGAATTTCATTTGCAGCTCTGAGACGGGGTGAATCTGATCCAATGAAGATACGCGGGCGATCCTCCGAGAGCACGCTCGAGAATCAGACGACCATTGAGGCTTATCCTTTGGCTTCGAGAATCCACCCAAATGTCCTATCCCAGATGTTGCTCTCTTCTCATACTAAAGTCGAAACGGAAACTCCATGCTGATATCAAGGGCAAGGGACAGGGTTGGATCGTTGGATGAATTGAAATCGGATGATTGAATGGCCCGATCAGTTTCGAAGAGAGATGACTTTCTTCGAAGAGGCCACTGCGAGGTCTTCTATCTTGGTGGGCGCGACCCTTGATAGATGGCTGATAGGCTCCCGGAAAACCACGAATTCCCTCGAGAACCGCGGTTCTTGCCTGCGGTCCCGTGCGGTTCCTCAAATACGCCTCACTTAAGCTAGAACCGCGTTCCTCTGGGTTGCCTTTTGGCAGTATCATACACGTGAGTGAGCGCCGCATTAAACGGTGTCGCTGTCATCCCTGGATGCCTGGCAGGGTAACGTCGACCGCTCGACGAGACTGTCCACAAAGTTTTCGATGAGAAGTTGGGAGATAGAGGGTTTTGTATGTCTACCAAATTATGCGCGGCATTCCACTCTGGGATCCGCGAAGGCTCTGAGAGACGTCAAGGTCCGATCCTAATTCTTTAAATCACTCCTGAACGAAGTGATTTTTCCTCATCGAGCGATGAGTCTTTGACATTTCGCATGCGAACTACGCCTCGTGATATTTCTGGAAAGCGTAGAAGAACTGTTCCGACACCTACTGCATCGAGAGCTCGTGGACGGCCGGCGCTTAGGCGCGAACGATTCAACAAGGGTCAGAGGGAGCTTCGTTGAACCCATCGGAATGTTCGTGTATGGTAATGTTGCGCTCGAAGAACGGGCTAGTCATGCCTTGCACGCAGCGAGCCTGTTATGCGGGAGAGAGCGTCTGAGCGTCGAATCGGAGGTCCCCAGTTTGGGGATCGGGAAGGGTCGACGAGACGAGAGGAAGTGTTCTATTTTTTGCCTCTAGATTGATCCTCCCCTGTTGGAAATGCGCCAGCTCAGACGTGGGCGAGGAGGTTAGCTGGGAAACAAGCTCAGCAAGGAGAAGAGCCGAGTCGGCAATTCAGGACGAGCTGGAAAAGCTATCCTGGTCTGCCTCCCTCCATCTCCACCCGAGCGGGCAAAGTCTCCTCGCACAGCTATTGCAAGCTGACTGACGAAGTTCCGCTCTTCATCCTCTAGGAGTTGTTGAGCGGGCGCCGCCTGGTCGATCCTGATTGGTTGTCGGAGCATTGTGGGGGTCCTCGGAGGCTCTTTTCGACTCTCCCGGCCCGGCGCCGATATCGTTCCCTTTTGCATCAGAGTAGAACTGAGAGAAGATCGCATCCGGCAGAAGTTCTGTGAGAGCATGAGCAGTTTCGGCCGGTGCGTCGTCTGTGCACTGAAAGATACTGGCGGCCAACTGATGAGTGCTACGGCGGATCACTCGCTTTCGTCCTTCGATCCCAGGAGGCCGGCGAGCCCATCCTACTCCAGAATGGACATCGACCCAAGACAGCGGAGACTTCTAGATCCCGAAGAAATACCATTCTTGCCGCGAGCGCGATCATGGAGGAAGGTAAGAGATCGCCGGTACTTTCGTGTCTTTGTCGGGTTGATAAAGGTCATACCGGGAATCGGAGCCGTGGCGAGTATATCTGATCTCTCCTACTCTCACTACGAAGGGTTGGGCGCTCTACGGAAACCTTGTGACGGGTGATCGTCGAGATTTTTCGATTTTCTTCCGGACTTCGTGTGACTACCGCCTCATGACTCTTATCATGTCGCTGTTACAACTCCGTCTATTACACATCCGATGGATAGCGCGTAATTCACGAGGAACCCATTTGCAGACCCCCGCGGAGATAATTTCAGAATTCACGCTGAGTGAGTATGGGCGAAATTCGAACATAGTTCACGATTTAGGGGAGCGCGGTTCATCATCGATCGACCCTCGAAATCCGATTCAAGGATGGTTTGGAGCTGAGAAGACCGGGTTAGCATCATTCCATCGATCTAATCTGACGGCGAGCTCAACCGTTAGTCATTCTGAGGGCCACCGTCGCGTGATTTCGACCTTATGTATTAGGAATCCTCGCATCACGCATAATGAGAGAAAACAGCATTTTATAACCATCTCATGGTGTGTATATGAATGTGTACAGTCAGGCTTCTGTCCAGTCGAAGTTCTCCTGCTTATCACGCATATTTCACTTGGGTACATGAATTTCAAGGTCGGCACCGTCAATGGACTTCGAAGTTTATGAAGTTCCTCTCCCCATGATACTTCGTATCGGAACGGTCAGCATTGCACGCATCCGATGAAGAGTCGGCTCACAAACGCTTGGAGCGGTCGGTGAATTCTCAGCTGCGTGGGGAGGTCGATATCAATTGTTCTTTCCGACCATCAAGAAATCGTCCTCTCTTAATGATCTGTAAATTGAGTCGTGACACTGTGACGAATCGCCGAGAAGGGGGTGACACTCCGTGCTGATGAGCTTGAAATATCGTATAAGGATCCGAGTCCAGGTATACGTCACTGCCGGCATCTGTGATCGCGGAATATCGGAAATACTGAAAGCGGTTTCGAGACACGCTCCGATTCACGCGAGAATTCCCGCGTTCTCGTCGCTACCTAATTCCATGAGCCACAAAGTCGGACGGACGCTCCCATCGGGAGCCTTCCCCGTGGGAGAACTACTCGTCACCTTTCTAGAAACTAGGTATTCTGAAACAGAAAATTTCATGTATTAGAAATCAAATGCATCTCCTCTCGAGCCACGCATCGGAGGGCGCTTAATGGCAGCTCGCTTCCACACGTAAACGAGAATAGGCGCCATTTACAGCAGGAGAGATTGCAATGAGCGAGGCGCTATGGCACTGTGGCTTACACCGCACCGTCGTCGGTAAATGCCAGAAAAGTGGTCTGGAAGCGTCCGCGAACAGAAATTCAGAGCGGTTCCCTTCGTTTCGAAGTTTGAGTGCATCTTCACGACTTTCCTGGCAACCGATAGGAACGATTTCAATCTCAAATCGGTAAGATGCGCTCAAGAGCAGATGCCCGCTCTTTTTTTAAGTAGATGCTGTATCACTAGAGGTTGACAGATCGGTCGTCTCTGACGCTTTCGTATTCTTCCGACGACGCACGATGCCCTCTCTATTCGAGACCACAAGAAGGTCTTGGAGTCGTGGGAGGCTCGAGTCTTCGATCGATGTTCAAGGAGTCCAGTCGAAAGGTCGCGGGAGATTGTCCGCTCATCTTTCACCTAGAACCGATATTCCTCTGCCACGGGAATTCGTCCACAAGCTCGGATTCAGAAGAAAATTTCATTCATTTTCGCGCAACCGGTCTACGGGTGCCACCCTCTCCCTTTCCAAACTCGTGTTCTGTGTATTCTTGATCTACGATCCCTTGGTACAGAACTTCCACTTGAGAATACAGAAAATCCGCATCGTTCAGATGATAAGATGCTTCTTCCCTGCTACTCCGAAGCGGAATTTCGATTAAAATTTTTGGCCCTCGAGGTCCGCGTTATGGAGTATTATCAAGTGGAAAACCAGCTTGCAATCGATTCGGTGGGTAGAGGCGTTGCTCGGCGTCAGTTCCGGTGAATGGACGGGCCGCGGGGTGATGTCGAAAGTATGAAACGTTTTGTTATCACGGCTTCCGAGGTCGTTGAGTCAGAGCCTCGAATGGAGCCGATCGCCGGAAACAATGAGCACCTTGTGGCTGGAAAAAGCTCCGCTCCCGGAAGGTCATCACTGAGTGAGTGATGCAGATGAGAGTTTCGTCGTGCCACTCATCCGCTCCTCTCTTGAATCGGAGCCGAATCCGCGAATCCTACGCCGAACCTCGCAAGAAACTCCAGACGATCTGGGAGCGCTTCCCTTGTAATGCATGTTCACGTACTCATCGTCTTCGACATGAGCCCGCCCTCGAGCTAACGGCAGAAAAATGCTCATCCGCCAGCCGATCGACCCGAGCGACCGGCTCCAGGCACCATGCTACCATCCAATGAGCACGGGCCGAATCTGAGCCGTGAGGTTCTGATGTAGTTCCGAGGAGTAATGTTCGAGTAGAAATGACTCGCCCCCATCAGGCGCAGGCGAGCTCTTGGACAACTCAGCGGTTACGCGCTGTTTTTCTTCTGTCGAAAGTCTCGGAATCAGCAAGATGGATCATCGATAGGTGTAGAGTCGACTAAGTGTATCACTAAATCCGCGATGTTGTTGCATTTCCTGGCGGTCTCGATGTACTTCTCGACACTGTAAGAACCGAAGCGACCGAAAATCATGAAATGTTCGAAAAGCCGCAGAGACGGAGCGAATTCATATCTCATCCAAGCGTCAACTCCGTGGATCGCATATAGGAACATCTTGTTCGAATTCTCGACTCGGCTTGTCGGCCTGTGGTTCACCTCCCGGACTGAGGATTTCAGCGAGAGGGAGTTTCAAGTTTTAGCCATCATCGCCGGCATCCTCCCTTCGCTTGATAATGTCCGCCCTGATCATCGGACTGGAAGGCGGCAGTCCCGGAACAATTTCAACCTACAGCTTGATCGGGGAAGTACAGCCGAATGGCCGACTTTTGATATGGCATTCGTGAGAGCGATGGCTCTCGCGGGGGACGGGGGTATCCATGGAATTCAAGGACGCCAGAAGAACGACCGTGGGTCCGACGCCGGCCGGAACGTTGAGCGTCAAGTTGTTCGCACATAACCTGTTCTCCAAAAAGCATCTTTCCTCCATGAGACGGAGCGTCCAAGACAGCTAGAGCCATCGTCAGTGTCCAGATGAGCTAACTGAAAGTCGTTTACATGCTCCGATCCGTCAGGCGCCCTAGAGAAGCGAATAATCGCGTCGTGATCGTCCTACTGAGGGCGTCGTCTCTGGTCTCATATTTCGAAGTGGCTGCGATGAAGCAATTGGTTCGCTCCTTGCTTACCTCACCTGATTGTGAGCGGAAGCGGAATACGCACTCGACTCCTTGTGAATCGTTCGTGGGATTCTCGACATTCTCACTCGCGTTTCTCCTATCGGAAGGCCAAAAATGTTTTTCCATACCGGACACAGCTGCGGGTCGGCTTGTATGTCTTTCGGGGACGCTGGAACCAATCGCGCTGTCGCTAGCGGGGAGTCTCGTATCGTTTACACAATTTTGATAAGCTTCGATCAATTTCTGAGCGAAGATATTTGTATCATCGATCACCATTCGGCCGGAAATTCCGTGCTGTGGAGGTTATCGAGAATGGAAGCGCGGTTGGAAGATGGTAGACTCCTCTCTTTTATCACTCCAACTGCGGAATACACCAAGAGTTTCGAATGTGCTTTCTTGCTGCGTGCACACGTTCTTTCGGGGGGAGTCAGCCTCTCAAGGGAGAAGCTCAAGTGTGGATGGACAGTGTCAAATCAGTGGAGTAGCGGTAAGAGAAGACAGAGTCGGGAGAAACAAAAAATCCGCTATCCGCGCGTACATCAGGACGAAAAGCGGACATTGACGGCGGACAGCGCATTTCCAGATTCGAGCCGTTCCATAAACTTAGTTCAGCTTCCCATGCAGGTCCTCAATGAGCGGAACTCGGGTGGACTTCAATGTCCATGTGCATTGTCTTTCAAAGTCGATTTGTTGGGGTGGAGTTCCTCGATCCAAACCTTGGCTCGTGCTCGCGCCGCCGAAACCTCGATGCCATAAATCGCGAAAAGTTGCGGAGATCGGATTTTGGTTTAAACTAGCACTGAGAAACCTGGTTACTTCTGTAGGAGTGGTCAGGAAGCCGCTATATTTGTTCGGAAACCCCGGAGATCGGACAAGACGAGACGTGTCCTCTTATATCACGAACCGCAACTCTGATTGCTAGTGAATCTTCACTTTTCCTTGGCTAAGACGATGGCACTGGATGGCATAGATTCATCTGTATATATTTCTTAGATGGATATTGATCGTTCACTTGTGAAGGGGATGGAACAGAATTGATTGTTCGGAAATGATTGCGAGGCCCCGAGTTCCCTGCAGAGAATCCGCGGCTCGGGAAACATTGAGCCTCAATCAGGTACGCTCCGCGTTCCGACACCCCCGTTCAGAAGATCGGCGTTATATCACCCCTACTCACTTCTTCCAAGCCCGTCGAGAGAGCTGATAGTGAAACTCAGAGAGAGGTGCTCTTAGGATCAGACGGAAGTTTGTGGTTCTCCTCCCCTGTCAGAAGAATTGTTTCGACTTCCGACTCGATACATTTGATTGGAGCCCTCCGTAAGCGCGTCTATCGCGGACTATCGCAGAATCTGCGGCTCGTTCCGATTCAGCATGACGTTTACGTAAGCGTGTTCGACGCGTATTGTATTCGATGGGCTTGCTATACGGACGGGCATGGCGTCCGAAAAGTCTCACTGAGAAAGACGGGTGTGGCGTCTCATCTAAGCTGCGGTTGGTCAACTTGGTGCGGCGACCCCACTTGCTGGCGGCCTTGACACAATCGTCGATTGAGCACTGGAAGACGAAAGAAGCCTTTCTGCCAGTCGCTCGGCTCCCGTCTTTGGATGCTTCGGGGGAGGAGAAACAATCGGACGGGCTGATGGGGGGGAGCGGAATTTCGTGAAAAAAAAAGAGTCTTTCTTCCTATTTTTTCCACTATCCGGTAGGTTCGCTTCAGGCGGTACAGGAGTGCTTTTGAATCTAGTCAAAACGGTAGCACTTCCCCCGACGGCATCACAGAGGCAATGGCCTCGCTGGGGCTGCTAATGAAATGGCTCACGTGTAACGTAAGACCAAACACACAGCGTGCTAACACCCGCTCAGCTTGCCCGTTGTTGTCATCATGATTGTTGTACTGCTGCTTCTGCCGATTCGGGGCTAAGCATTGACACTACCGCAGGTATATCAGTTGAAGAAAATACCGTTGCTCGGGGAAGAAAGGTTCACCTTCCGACGGCGAGCCGACCGCCCCCTTCAATCGATTACGAGCCGCGGCCGCCGCCGTCGTGGTGACGCCATAGGGGTTTGTCTCACTCGTCTTTTCTTCCCTCCGCGTCGGGTCTTGCTTCGCCTGCCTGCCTGCCTGCTTGCTTGCCTATATATTCGAGACGGCACGCGGCATTTGAGCATCGAAGCCGCGGACGGGCTCATCCCCAGACTTTGAAGATGAAGGCGTTCGTGATTTTCGCTCTGAGTTTCGCGGTAGCCCACGGCGGCATATTCGGTGGAGGGGGCGGCGGAGGTGGACACGGCGGAGATTTCGGCGGTGGCGGTGACTTCGATGGCTCCGGTGTGATCGAGCCCAGGAGTGCAAACGCGGGTCAAGACGAGGACAACGCGGCCCTTTCCGCGGTCGGACTTTCACGTCTCCTCGGAGGGGGAGGCCTGAGCGGACACGGTAATCTCGGCGGCGGTGGAGGAGCCTCGTACACGATATCGGGACCGACTCAAGTCATTAAATCCGTCCATAAAATCACGACAACCAACGCCGGAGGCCAAGTGCTCTCCCGATCCGGCGGCAGTGGTGGGAAAGGAGGCGGTGAAGCGAAGATAATCATCATTAAGGGGGCTGGAGGAGGTAGTGGCGGAGGTCACGGTGGAGGAGGCGGCGGCGGTCATGGAGCAGGATGGCAGCAAGGTGGAGGTGGCGGAGGCAGCGGTGGCGGTTGGTGAACACATTCTTCTTTGTCCCTTGTGTCTCAGATTACCCAAAAATTCCGTGTACAGATCCGCGTAACCGAGTGCACCAACATTTGTAAATATGGTGGCGTGAGTGTAAATAAAGGGTCTCCGACGTGATCTTCGAATTCCTGGAGAGGTTCTCGTCATTGGATATTGTTCGAGGGGAAAGAGGACGTCCCTGACTCTCCCACTGGATTCTGGATTCGCGAGCCGGTCCGGGATCTCGCCGTCGACATTTGATTTGATCTTGTCGATCAAATCTTGCTTGGAGGAAGTTCCGACCCAGAGCGGCGGTTCCGTCCACCGCGGTTCCAGATAAAAAAATTGGGAAGCATCGGCGGCTCTCAGTCAGCACCACTGATAGGCATCAGGCCTCTTGAAGATCGAGCCTTCGAAGGAATCGCTTCCCCCAGAGACGCATACTCCCTCGCAGGACTCATGTCTTGAGCAAGGTGGATGTGCGCATCCTTCTACCGATTCTCTGTTTGTTTCTAGCCCCCTCCCTCCTTGGAAGTCTTAACCCCATGCGGAGCTCTCAGGGAATCTGAGCGCTCCCAGGATCTCCGAACCGCTTGCCGACAGCCGACCCGGAGGCCTGCCGTTCCGGATGGCGGCGCAATTGTCCGCGACCGCGGGATCCTCTCGGTGCGGTATAAGGGTGCGAACTTAGGCTCGGTGGTGGGATCGCGCGCGCGAGGAGGCAAAAGTGTCTCGAGGGAAACCAGCTCTCGAGGTCGTCGAATATCTGCTCGGCTAAGAAGACGTCATCTTCAGCCGCCGTCGTTGGCCGAAGGTACGCCCATCCGCATCATCGTGTTTCAATCAAACCGGGGACCACCCTCATTCTGAATGTCAATGTTTCCGAGCCGGCCCCCGAGATGCCCGTGCGGTCGATGCCGAATGATCTCAAATCATGTATCATGTGTAGGGAGATCTCTCCTGCAAACTCGTTCCGTGTCGACTCGGATATCATTATCATACCTACAAGCATATGAGCTCAGTTTGAGCACCGATTGTCTTCACGATCTCATTCAACGAGCGAGGGAGCCGCTCGTCTTGAAGGACAGTTCACAGACTACCGAGTTCCGTGTGGCCGATCGTATAAAAATTCCCGCATGTTCTGCATGCCTATGGCGGGGATTCGGTCTCGCTAAGCATAGATGACAAGACTGGACCTTCGAAAACAAGTACGTCCGTTTAGCATATTGCCGAATCGAATGGTCGAAAAGAGGCTGGAATTTGAGTCTCTGCAGACCGTACTGTGCAATAAGCGGCGCGACGGTGGAAAGGGTCAGCCGCTGTTGCTGCAGCTCGTGGTCAACTGAGTCCCTCTGAGTCTAAGCTCGTTCTTTCGCACGCGCTTTCTCTCTGGTCGATAAGCTTAATCAGCTCCTCTCCCTTGCTCTCCATCAGGAAATAGAATCTTATAGACTCTCACGCTCGCTCGCTGGATCACTCACTCACTGAAACACAGCGACTTGGGGGCATCACGCGAAACAACAATGGCTCACAATTCCAATGTAGTTAGTCTCCACAGAGCGATTTCTCCTGACTTTGGTGATCTAACAACGACCGGACGGAAACCTGAACGAGAACTGACAGACAGCAAGGCAGCATGGAGGCGGATTGAGCAGTTGAAAGCGAATATTAGATCTGTGGACCGTGAATCCGTGACTTATTAATCTTTTCATCTGCAAACGATCGAGCGGCACACGAGATGAGCAGAGATCGACTGCTGTCTCGAAAAATCGACTGTGACTCGCAGGTACCGTTCGTTCCGAAAAACTGGAGCTCCTCTCTACTTGACGGCTGATGCTTGAGCCCGAGATGTCTCATCTCAACATCCGTGCTCGGGTGATCAAGCTGCCCGTACTAGATGGAGATTTCCCCCTATTTTTTTGTGCTAAATGTTCGGGAGGGTTCTCCGAATGCCTCCGTGTGGGGGATGGGGGGCACCACGCTCTGGTCCCCAATTAATTGCATTGTCGCGTGGTGGCGGGGACTCATGGCTGGACGCTCATTTGAAAGGCCGCTCGAACGAGCTCTCACCGAGCTCGCAGGTCAGAAGCTCATCATAGACTGAGCGCAGACTCTCTCTCGCTATATCCATTCTCGAAGAGTGAAGTCACGACCCGCGACGTGCGCTGTCTGTCCGGGCAAGTGCGAAATTCCTAGAATCGATGCCTTAATCGCATGTTCTACTTTTGATAGACTTCGATCCCCAGCCCCATCAGTGTGCCTACCAGACATTGTCGAGTGTATATTCCCTACGGAAGAGTGTGGATGGGGCGAGAACTCCACGGCTCCGCATATCGACTGGTCGTCCACTGTTTCAGTCGCGATTCGATCAAGCTCCCGATGCGCAGGTCCTCGCAGTAGAGTGAGATTCTGAACGACAACACGGGAATGTATGTAAGGTCCAGATCGAAGGAGCCCTCACTCACGGACGGCTCTCCCGTTCGAGTCGTACGGATTCTGAGCTTCGGCTGTCGCGGCGCAGGTCTCCGAGCAACGAAATTCGACGGTACCCGCTCGGCTTGCTATCAATCTGGACAAAAATCACTCTGCGTGCTCTGGTATCCATGACACAAGACTCGTGAGAGTGTTCATGTTGCTTCCGTGGAACCAGCGAATCGATCATTGACAGGCGTAATTCCTCCTTCTTGGCTCGTCAACGATATAGAGCTCAAGAAAATGCATAAAATGTTCACTTCGAGTATGCAGTAAGTTGGAAGTACACACTTGGAGCCTCGATCTCGATGAGGGGTACCGCGAGAGCCCGCGCCAAATAGTCCTAGTTCAGAAACTTGAGCTCCACTCGCGAGGAAGACATCGGAGCTCGCCTCAAGGCGATTCCCCGAGGAAGGATTCGGAGTCCATGCTCGATGGTCCATTCTCGGTGCCGCTCTTGAAGAGATAATGTTTCGCAAACGACATTCACCGCTAGCGTATGAAAGTGTGCAATGGTGTGGAGTTCATCGTGGTGGTTTGAAATGGGAACCGCGATGCGAGCGAGAACGAGTTTAGTCCCGCAGAGAGAGACGAAGTGAACCCACTCGGTGATCATGGCGTTCGGATCCCGTATAGGGCTGCGTATCTCGAGTATACTCTCAATTAAATATTTTCGGAAGTACTGCAGTGATCATCCAGTGCAGCCCGCTGTGCAGAAACCCCGCCGCAAGCACGATAAGAGCAGAAGATTAGGATACTTTGGACGACGCAGAAATAATTGAGTTCCTTCTCTTGCAGTCAATGCGGGGCGGTCACTATCGAAGCACAGCCGAAACCGATCTGAGTCGCGAGAACCAAACGCGGCCATCGCATTCTCCACTCCATTCATCGACAAATCCTTTCGGGGAACCGGGAGAAGCGATGCCGGTGAAAGCGGTGAAAAGTCCGGATCTCGATCTGGATGGGAGCAGTCTACACGATGGAGGAATCCTAGAGTCTTCATCGCAGGATGGCAAAAGGCAGACAATGTGTCAAACATTCCTGAGACAGAACAAGCTCACCTTGGCAACAATAGCAGGCGAGTCCTGATCTCCTCGACTCCTCATCCTAGCCATGCCTGATTCCTGCGGCTTCCTTATCGAAAATTCGCTACCCGCTTGAGATTTATTTCTTCTCTCGATCACAGGTGTTGTGTTGGGTATTGTTTTTGGTTGCGTCTTCCGACGATACGGTCCGTGGACGAAGCGAGAAGTCATGTATATCAACTTCCCCGGCGAGATTTTCCTCCGCATGCTCCGTGGACTCATTCTGCCTCTGATCACAACTTCGATGATCGCTGCCGTCGGCGGATTGGATGCGACGCTCTCTGGGAAGATCGGATTTCGAGCGGTCACGTACTATTTCAGCACCACAATTATCGCTATCTTCCTCGGTATCGGGCTGGTCATTACCATACAGCCGGGAGCTGGAGACTCAGAATTCGAAACCAGCAAAAGCAATGCGAGGCTCGTCACGACAGCAGACACCCTTATGGATTTGATAAGGTATGGTATGACTATCTGGGAAAGGTTATCTTCCGGTGCTACATGCATAGTCTAGATACTTTCTCGGCTTCATCATCACCGTGAGTCCAGGTGAAAGCACCCGATCGTTCACATAGGTCAGTGGCGTGCTTCCAGACCTTGTGCGGATCGCCATACAACGAAAAAAAAACATAGTTCTCTGAAGTTCCTAGCTTGTTTATATCGGGATGATCCCTTTCGCGACATACTCTGTCGGGAAATTAGCGATGCGTCTCATCCGCCGGCTATCCGGAGCAGGGAGTCGATTGAGGCTCAGTATCGCGTCCTGAAGAGGAACTTCAATTGCGTAGGCTCCGCGGAGATGGTCGATCGTCTCTGCGAAGAGAGGAACATGAAATGAATTTGGCCCTTGAGTCCATCCAGTTTCAACGGTATCCAAGCTCGCGCACGAATGCAGTCCTCTCCATGCGTGTCTTCAGGAACTTTTCTCGAGATGAGGAATATGTCGTCTCCGTCGAAAGCTCAAGAACCGAAAGTCACCTATTCCGCGGAATGGTGTCATTAGGCACGTCGAGTGCATGGAGCTCTATCTCGACGGCGACTCTTTCAAAGCATGGCCTTCCCCCGCGTATAGACTGAGAACTCCCTGTCCAGGGAACGTAGATGTGAGCAATCGCCCAACAGACTCACTTTTTTCGGAGGTGCGTACTGGTCCAGCTCACGAATGAACATCTCGACCGAGGTCAGAGGCGAATGTACGAAATTCAAAATCTGCGGAATGCCTAGAGACCGTGAGTAGATAGATCTCTGAATATGTGCTTGCGCGAACATCGTGGTGCCCGCATCGCTAGCGGTCGGGAAGATGCAATCCAGAAACACCGATGAAACATCACCTCCTGACCTTCTCTTGAGAGCGGTACAACGCGGGATGGCACAATTTCGCCGCCGAAAGCTCCGATCCTCCGAGATGAGATTTGCGGCGAGATTCTTGGATATCTCTCTCGAGTTCTCGCGCCAGCGCTGATGACACAACCAGTGAGTGACGTCCACCCCGAGCGGTCCCCGCCTGCCTCAAGTCCCATCTGTAGGATACGGTCTGCTGCATCTGGAAGCGAAGCTATAATTGACGAAGCGTCGAAATCTCCATCCGGTTCCGCTTGTAGCTGCTCATTCTAGTAGGCGCAAAGAGACGACCGTGAATTTAGAATCGCATCAGATCCGTTCTCAAAATCTATGCCTTCAGACAAGCCTACGACCGTCCCACATGGAAATCGCTCAGTGGCTCCATATGGTATCTGCGTGGTATGAAGTGGGTGGTTTTAGCTGATTCGTATCGAAATCATGCGGAAACGAGTGTTGCCGGCTAAATGTCTACTAGGCTATTTTTTGTGCACTTGGGTAGCCCGTACCACTCTGACCGACTTTCAGGATGGCTGATTTGACTCCTAGAGACAATTTCCGTCGCTGATAGCGGGGAGCGGATAGCTCCTTCCACGGACCCTGTCTCGAGTAGAATGTGCTTGCGCGTGTCGCCGACGGCACGCTCTTGCGAGTCTCCCCAGAGAGGGAATATCCCGATGCATGTTTCGGCTGAGCGCAGCGCTGGTCTAACCGCGAGAGCCTGCCCAGAGGGCCCGAGACCACCGAGATATTTATTAATACATAATTCCCAGCGGAGTCAAGATGCCCGTGTCATGCATTGATATTGGTGTAGCACTCTGGAAAAGATACCCAGCCATTGGCCTCAAGATGACAGCTCGCCAATGCAGCGACACGAGCGATCTCGGTCGGCTTGCGGGTCAGCGCTCCCTGGCGGACTCGGCTCTAACCAAGAGTACCTGACGGATTAGGCGCACGTAGGAAGTGTGGGCAGGCCCAGCCCCGAATCTCCAACATTTCCCCACGCACGCCGCCAGGTGCGAGACGAGTGGATGCCACACAGCAACACTGCGAGGGGGAGCCAGATCTCAACGCTCCGGTGAAGAGCTGGACTAGTCGTACTATGACATCCGATGATACATTGGGCTTTTTACGATGAATCAAAACCGATTCGATGAAAAATAGAGGAATAATCAAAACACAAGCTAGAACGTGGTGTGCATCACCTTCTCACGGGGAGTATACCCTCCATTCTTCGAGCTGACAGTCCAAGAAAAGGTTTCCCGAATAGATCACTGTCTGAAAGCAGAACCCGACTCGAGTGTGATTGAAGTTCCATACCAGGAGACCGGGAGAGAACGCGCTCGACAGGGGTAGAAATACATCGGAGACTAAAATAGAAGACGGTCGAACGTTGACTCGACTCGTCGGGACCGAGTCGGCAACACTGGCAGGAGCTTCGATCGGATGGAGGCATGAATCCGGATCGACTTGCCTCCCGTGTGCAATTAGCCGGGTTGCCCGATGGAGGCGATCGTCGGCGATTCATCATCACGAGCTCCCTCTGTCGGAGAGCTCCCCTCACGTGGAAGGAGGGAGGGAAGAGGCGACACTGAGTTATCACCAGCTCATTGACGTATCCGGCCCTAGTCTCTCGGAAAAAAAGTTCAATCCCGAAGGCGGGCTTTCGAGTCCGAGGATGGTCATCGTTCGGATGAGCTCGAGGATTCGGTACGGAGCCGCCAAAAGCTGAATACACGATTGAAGCTGAGTTCGCAGAGGGGATCGGAATCCGATTGCATCGGCTGAGATGTGACGACGATTGGACAGATTTAGATCTGTCTGCGCAATATTGAAGTCGATACATAGGGCCCGATACGCTTACCTTGAGAGTAGCTTTTGAGGTGGTGAAGCTACGCTTAGAAGCCGCGAAGGCTCGGCGTTTACGCCCAACTCTCTCTCCTTGTTTAGCTTCTGTTCTTGGCCCCGGCTCTCGGAAACACTCATCCTCGAATCTTTCTTCGCGGGTGAGAGCGAAAATTTCGTGAGCGCAACATATTGGTCCCATGACCAGCTCGGCAGTTCGCGATAGTTCCGGATTCGACCAGGACGTATCAGAAGCATTGACTGCAATGATCAACTGCAAATCCGAATAAGCTCACGGCAGAACCTCAAATTCCCATTCCGCGATCACCCTCTTCTTTTAAGAGCTTCTTCAGGGAGAGGAACGATATTCGATGGTCATATCGGCGGGTATCTGAGGAAATTCGTTCCTCGTCCCCGATGCTTGTGGCTTGTGGACAACTCCTCGAGCCTGGAGCATCGATGTCACGTGTGTTAGACGTACGCCCGAGTTCTGCCTGTAGCATTCTCCTTTTGCCCATAGTAATCCCTCTGCGCTTCGAAGTGGAACCTCGCAGCATCGTATATGCTGTTTGCTAGCGCAGCGCCGCTTGGTCTGTCTCGAACCTGATGAGCATTTTGCTGCTGCTGTCATAGAGCGAAACGCGAAAGCCAAAGAAAAAGCTCCCCAAAGAGCAAATCAAGCGTTCTGCGGCTCCTTCCTAAACCTCGGCCGCTGTGACGGCATGAAATAACCGTAATAAAATGTGTTTGTGTAAGAATATCATCGGAGAAAGAGGGAGAACGATGCCGGGTTGAGTTTTGTTCACTTGTGTGTCTATGGTGAGATTGCAACAATATAACGCAGCGACATTCCACTGTCCACATCGTTTCTTCTCATCACTTTTTCTTTTCTCTTTTAGAAACGCGTTCCCTCCGAACGTCATTGAAGCGTGTATAAACCAGGTGAGAGAAAGGAGAACTCATGCTCCAGAGTGATGTCCAGATATGCGATAACGGGGGAGCCAGGCACAAAACACATAGAGACGACCATCACGATGTCATCTTACGGCACCGCAACTTACGGATTTCTAAAACGCCAGAGATTCTGTGCAAATATCGTCGTGGTACAGCGTCGTTTTTTCCATTCACAGTTCTCAACGATAGTCATCAAACCTGATAATGCAACAGGTAAAATTCACACCAATAATGGAATGTTGGTCATTTCACACGATATTGTGCCAGATACCAGAGTTGCGCATGGATATCGCGTAGCAGCTCGGAGAAAAAGATAGAATATGAGTATGCACGGCTTCGTTTGCCGATTAGTCCGCCTCGAATGACTGATGCGGGGTCCAAAAAGTCAGATGGGAACGCCAATCGAGAATATCGAGTTCCGTCTCATTCAAAAGTGTTTCCCTCAAGGAGCTCTATTCATACGACGATTCTCCGAGCGGGTCCGACAAGGGGTGCGTACAGCTCCGATCGCCAGAAAACTCTGAACAGAGCCCCTTCGTGTCATTCCAGGAAGCATGTACGATTGGGACTTCAGGACGGTCAAAGATTCGGGAACCAATATCCTGGGGCTCATCGTCTTCTGCATCGCCCTGGGTACGATCATCGGTCGTATGGGCGAAAACGGAAAGCCGCTTCTCGACTTCTTTACCGCTCTCTCAGATGCAATGATGCTGATCACGAAAGTTGTTGTGTGGTAAGTTAAAAACTTGGCGGAGGAGCTCAAGAAAAGTTTCAGGTCTCACGGAATATTTAGATTCGTGATTGGAACACTCCTCGAGCCTCATGAAATTTTCGGAGCATTAAGAGCTGGTGATTATAATAGCGTCATTCCTGGAACCCCCGGTACCGGATGAGAATTGAAGCTTGTCATTGAGAAAAACTTCCGGGAACTAAAAGCAGCTTCAATGAGAACCTGACATAAATTACGATGCTTCCACGGACAATTAGAGTGCTTGAACGTCAATCCATCAGGGAGCATCGTCGTCGATTTGTCTCAATCTCAGCGCCTCCCTTCCACTTTTCCCACGGCGCTCCCCGGCGCTTCGCGTCGTTGCGAGAAGAATTCCCTCGGTTTTCGCTCCCGAATCGAGAACCAGAATTCCGCTATCGCCGATTCGGACTGGAGTCGCGGGAAGATTATGACTGATAAGTGATAACTTGATGTCCAGGACCGTCTGTATTCGGTTCTCCGGAGGAGAGAGAGGGTCGGGCATTCGTGTCTCCGCTCCACTCCCACGAGTCCCTCGAATGAATTCCTCTCATTGTCGGCGGCCACGCCGCCAGTCCATGTTTGCTCTTCCAGATTGTAGCAATCAAGCCGCGACGCTTGCAAGTCTGTTTTTTCCCGCTAATTGTTACCCTAGACTTGGCAAATATCAGGCCAATGTCGAAATCGGAATCGGCCAGCTCTTAACAAAAACGTTTTCTGCATCCCGGCTCGAGCCGTGTGATGATGACGACGTGGTTGTTGTTGTCGCTGTCACTCTTCGCGTCTTCAGCATCAGCATCCCTGGTTTCCATTGTTTTCTCGGGGTCTACTTAATTTTCAAAGCGAAGCCACGTAAATAGTTTCTTCAGTGCTGCTGGTCATGAATGTTCTCGCCATGCTGTCTGAGTCGCTTCACAAGAAGCCATGCGATCGCAATCGACCGTCAATTCTGTCCGAATGTCCTCCGCAAGTGAATTACGAAACTAGCTCGGAGCAAAAGTAGCGGGAGAGGCTCCAGAATATGATGACCGCACACTGACCAGGGAAAACGAGTCGACGCTCGCGGCTGATGTCTCCCTACCTTCGAATGTCTTGCTTTGTTAGCTGCCTGGATCATAGGCTGTCAATGCCCACCTCGAGGCTGCTTTCTGTGTTTGTGTGGGAAACTGAAATCTCAGGGTCCCGAGTCGTAGCCAGGGCTTTCGCGACAAGAGAATAGCGATCTTAGATCATTCTTGAGTATGAGCTAAGAGTGTCGATTCGAGATATTTCCGATCGGCGAACTCGATGTGGCAGTAAGTCGACTGTAGCCCGGTATCTCGTGTCCTCTCAGCCGCGGCTCGAAGCGCTCGTTGTCCCGCATGATGAAATTTCGGAGGGAGGGATGGGTCGAGTCTGTTCCGTTGGGAATGCCCTCGCGTTGGTTCCCGATCGGTGAGGTTGTGATGATTTTTGGATCGCGATACTTCTAGTGGAACACCCCGTGATTTCTATTAGTCGCCATCTATTCTTAAGCTCACAACCCAGAAGGAGCAGAATCTGAATTCTATGAATCGTTGTGTCCCCGAGATAAACAAAGGGGGAGCGCTCTGAAAATTGTGATGAAAGATGACCAATGCAGCCCTTTGTTCCAGGTTGTCACCCGGCGGTGTAATGTTCCTTGTCATGAGTAAAGTTGTTGAGATGAAGGACTTTTCTGTTGTCGCCGGCCAGGTCGGGATGTACACCTTAACCGTTATTCTGGGCCTCCTTCTGCATGGATTCGTGGTTCTTCCCGCTCTGTACGTTCTCATAATGAGGCAAGAACCATTCACTTTCCTGCTGGATATGCTGCAGGCTATCACAACGGCATTCGGGACGGCTTCGAGGTGAGTCTCCCTAAATGATCCTATGCAACCCTTCGCTAGCCGTATCTGACCGTTCCACACAGGGAGAGTAACTCTGGATGAGAACGACGCCTCATTGAGGCTTTCATCTAGTGCATATGCTAATAACAAGGCACACGGCGCGGGAACGGTGCTACTCACGATGAGGCAGCCGGAGTTTCCCGACAAAGCCCGATGGCACGGAAGGCACCACATTTAAGAAGCTGAGGAGATTAGATGATTGGATCGTCTAGCGAGTGCACATGATCGAAGAAACTTGAGAATTGTGTACTTCATAATTTATTGACACACAGAATAATATATTACCATGTCACACGGGGCACGCACGTTGTGTATGTACAGAAGGATGAGGGTAAAGAAGACAGACAGCGGTACTTATCCTAAGTGGAGAACAATCCAGGGTTGGCAGAGGAGAGCTTCAATTCGAGCTAGCTGGACTTCTTCTTCGCTTTGTCCACGTAATGATCCGGGTGGTTTTGTGGAGATATCGAAGTATGCCCACCTCTGGCGATACCGTGAGTCAGGTGTTGGGGGAAAGAATGTTGGCTCACTTGGGAAAGTGCTCTCGTTTGAGCGGCGTAATGAGCTTGTGTTTGGGAAACCGGATGAGCCTGCAAAGATTCCGGATACGCGTATCCATTGCTTGTATCCGAGAGCGAAGGATCTTCGGAATGCTGTACAGCGTTGCTTCGCAAGTGGCCGTGAGCTGAGGCTCCGTGCGCAGCGATTCTAGTGAGCTGTGGATCGGCGTGTGCGGCCGCTTGCTTATACGAAGGCTTAGGAACGCTCGCAGATTGCGATACCCCACCGAAACGCGTCACATGCACTCGGTCGGACGCATACTTTGCCGGAGGCGTTTCATACTGTCCGGCTAACTCGAACTTCGGTCTGGACGTAAAGTGTTGCGGGTAGACGCTTTCAGTTTCTCGGTGAATCACCCCTTGTTGCGGCTGGTATTCTTGCTGGTGAGCCTGCGGCTGGTATTCTTGCTGGTGAGCCTGCGGCTGATATTGAGGTTGTTCTTGCTCGCCCGAGCTGGTCTGAGCGATGTGATGCCTCGGGGCGTATTGGACGGCCCCTGGTGGATAAGAGTAGACATATTTAGGGGGAGGCTGAGCGTACTCCTGCTTTTGATATTCGGGTTCGGTGTCGGACGTCGCTCGTGGGTCCTCTTTCAGCTGGGGTGCGTACTGGTGCACGTATTGCACCGGTGCGGGTTGGTGTTCGTACTGCTGTTGTAGCTGCGGCTGCTGGTGCTGCTGCTGGTCTTCTTCCTCTGCTTGCACGTACTGTATCTTCTGTTCCACTGCCGGTCCAGCTCGAATGTACCGGGGCTTCTCGCTGTTCTGATACTGACTTTGCACGTGTTGTTGGTGATCGGGCTGGTGCTCTTGAACCTGCTGATAACGCACATAACGCTCCGGTTGAGGGCGAGGGTGTTCGCCGGTATATTTGTTTTCCAACGGGCTGTACCCTTCGTATCTCCGAGGAACAGACTCGTAGTTGCTCCGATAGCGTGGAGCGCCAGGTTCTGGATCTTTAGAGCCCCGGAGATAGTTCCGGTATTTTTCGTCTTGACTCGACGTTATTTGGTAGCCGGGAGCTTGTTGATACTTGGGCGCCTCGTCTGCTGGCACATACTTCACGAGTTGACCTCGTTCAGCCTGATGATACTTCGCAGCCTCTTCTTCGGATACGTATCTCAACTCCGCCTGAGGTTCTTCTTCGTGATTGGCTACAGCGTATTTGTATTTCTCGTCGGGTTGCCCGATCGCGTACTGACGAGCGGCCGCCGCGAATTGTCTCGGCGGCTCTCGCTCTGCTACGCTATAGCCTCGTTGATAACCCTCGGAAGCATGAGCTTGCTCATCCTTGTAGACGGCTGCAGATTCCACGTCTTGAGAACCCTTGAAGTGCACACTGCTTCTGCCTTGGCCCTCGTGACCTCCGGAGCCTCCACCATGCATTATTTGGAAGTTGTATTCGAAAGCTCCGGACGGGATGACTCGTGAACACGATAAGCAAACGATGAACACAAAAGTGGACTTCATTGCGGAAAAGGGAAAAGAGGAACGACCACACGTGACGAGAAGAGACACTACACTCGCTCTGACAGCCCCATCTGGCTCAGCTTTATAGCAGTGCGCCACGGGGGAGGGATGGGTTATAGCTCGTCGGCTGACGCTTAGCTCTCAACTCGTATCCATCGCCGCCGGCTTGTGCTTTGCCCGACCGCCCGCCTGCCCGACGGCACCGCCAAGAAAAGAGATCTTCTTCGCTCGGTACAACATCATCGCAGATCAAGGACAACCATGCGTAAGAAAACTGTCGCACACTCGTTCAAAGGAATCGATTTCGGCTGGATGCAATGGTGCTCTTCCCGTGAGGAGCCTATGAAGTTTATCTCTTTTCTCGGAAACGACCTTAAGCCCTCACTGGTGTGCCGACTCCTCCGCCTCTCAAACGAGACTGAATTACGAACAGAAGGGGTGCGATTCCTTGCGCGGATCGTACTCGTGAATGTAATACTTCCCTATCTTGCTCTGTCTTCAGACGTCGAAAGCTCTTATTCTGCACGACTCAATCCGCTTGTCTTCTCGGTGTGAATTCGAGAAGAAAACCAATGGGAGCATTCTATCGTTTTCGTGTTCTTGCAGTAAGATCAAGAATTGCAAAATTCGTCCCCGAGATCATCTTTTTGTTCGGAACGCAATCAAAATAAGATGAGGGATATAGCGTCTGCAGTGATTTGGATGCGGGACAATCAAATGGGATCTTCGGTCAATCCACCTTCAACTTCCACGTCAATCGCATCGCGGTGCTTGGTCCCTTTACGCTCAAAAACAAATACGGGTTCCTTACCAAATCACTTTGTCTTCTCGTACCTATCCGAAACCCTAAGCGTGTCGTTCGCACTAGACGCTCGGTTCCGGGCCCAGCGAATGCATGGTCGTTCTGCTCCGGACCATTACGGTGGGAGCCGGTGATTTCTGTTCGCAACTATGTCCACTGTTGGACATGAAACAAAAGAACCCGAAAGAGTGATACCTAGCTGAAAGAGTCGTTCCATCTATGATCGAGCCCACGGCTCGTTGCGCACGTCGATGTTAAGGCTGTTTATGATCGATTACAGAAGTTTCCATCTGCGTGTAGGATTTCTCCCAATAGGCTCCGTGTTGTATGCGCTCGTGGATACGGTCGCGCTCGATTGTCATTTTTCTGTGCGACCATAAACATTTATCGCCATGCCACTGAACTCTCCGGACTCACTTCACACCGCCTTAAGCCGACGTTACTCGGAAGAATCGAAGGTGAATTCCTGATGCATAAATGACATTGCTTCGCGAATCCACCACCACCGAGCCGTGTGGAGACGATGCTCAACTTCCCGTTTCAGTCGGTAGAGCATTCGATACTATGAAATTAAGCAATTCAGGAATTCTTCGGAGTTCAGCGAGATCGAGTCGAATCGTCTCTTCCAACCTTCCTCGCTAGGCATCACGAACACGGAAGCGAGACTTGGACGAAATCGATGCCGATCGAATCCTTGATCTGGCTGCTTCCAAGTATGAAGCATGCAGCTTCATCCCGAGTTTGCTACGTTAAAAATGCTTGAGTGACTGGGCGTTCCAATCTGCGAATCCTCACCGTGAGGTTCTGGCGGCTGCAGACGGCTAGATCCGCTAGATATAAGACGATATCTACTGTACATATGTACATGATGGTCCTTCGTTGTATCTGGTAGGTCTCTGGATACATATACGTTCGTATATACATGAGTGCGTGTGTGTTTAGAGCAGATGTTCCCCGCAGCAGGGTCGCACCCTCTGTACTCGCGGATCCGGGCTCCGCGAACCCACGAGTGTCGATAAAGATACCGGATGTTCGCAAGGCCCACAAATGGCTAGCCCAGATTGCGTCCTCAGTTTGGAAATCTCTGTTCGACACTCCGGGCAAACGCTCCTCCGTCGAAAGCCTTGCACGCGGAGATGTTTTTTTCGCAGGAACTCGCAGGCTGAGCACGTTCGATTGACATGTGCGACTCCCCGGTCTTGGCAACAAGCATAAAACGAAATTCATTCAGGGATCATCTATCAGGAAAGATCGACCCTTTCACCTTGGGTCGCATGCGGTAGATTTCGAGCTGCTGTCGGGGAAGCTCGCGGAAGGCGTGTCCTCGCGCGCAGAGCATTGTGAATCTTGAGTCATTTGCCAGCGAAATCGCCACGCTTCAACAAGCTCTTCAATTGTTCCGCGCGAATAGCCGGACTGGAGCAGGAGGAATCAAGCCTATCCTGGTCTGCAATATATCGAATCCACAGCATTCGATTTCAGTAATAGAGCAAATAACATGACTCGTGACAAATCTCATGTCGCAAGTCCGCAATAAGAAAATTATTCTGAATTGCGACTCTGCATGAAATTGTCGACGCTGGTATAGAATAATTCTCAATTTCTGCATAGAATAATTTAAGCCCGCTGGGCGCTCAGATTCCGTGAAATGTAGGAGATCTCCGTTTGGTCGCCGCAATCCTAAATACACGGGAGAAAGTATAGTCGCGGGAAGATAATGAAGTTTTACTTAGTGAACTATCGCTGCGTCTGATCTCGCAAGTCAGCATCGGGCACGGCTCATCCGAAAGTGCGCAATCATTCACACCTAAGTGGAAAATGAGCCTTCTGCCCGGGATCGGAGCACGGAGGGGGTAGAGATCTGATTGACGGGGAAAAATGGCTCAGAAAAACTTCAAAGGTCTTTGATAGTGAACAAAGTGTCATTCCAAATTCTGATCTGTACGGGATCGTTTAGCTTCCTCAGCTCGAGGTCGTATGTGATACTTTCTTGGTATGAAACCGACATGCACCTCACAGGCTGTATGATGGGCGTCCTGAGAAATGTATCGCGGCTGGCATTTTGACCGCTTCGTCTGCCGGTTCATTCTTCTCCTCCTTCATGGTACGTAATTTCAGTTTTCATTAAGAAAGCATCGATATGATCTCTTTCGTCAGCGTCGAGGATCTGGCGGGGCTTATCCGGAATCCCGACCGTATCATTTGTCACCTTGCAATTCACGACGGACGTCGTAACGATGAGGCATGTTGAGGAGCTCGATTCCCCTTTCTTGAAGACACCACCGGCTGCGGCTGTCTCTGATCTCCCAAGTCTCAGTTATCTATCATGGATGATGAGAGATGATTGGAGCCAGGAAGTTCATCAACTAAAAAATGCCAAAATCAGCAGGCGTAAAGGTACTGAGAATCCCTAAAATCGGCAACAAAACTGGGCATGATAGGCAGTGAAAACGCCGCACCCATGAGGTGTTCGTCAGAGCCATTTCATGAGTAATTTACGTCGAAACTCAGAGTTCATCAGTGAGTAATCGACGCCGGTCCGATAGAAGCATTCTACATCATTGAGAAAAAAGGCAGCCATAGACCTTCCTGGTGAAATGCCTGAGCTTCAGAATTCCGAAGCGCACGTGATGACCCTTCGGGATGAGAGCATACTGCTTGCCTCGAGACAATCATGCATTCCTCACGAATGCACATGCTGATCCGAGCCTCCGCTGATTTCTGATCAGGTCAGGGACCTTATTTTCATAGCTCTGAACTCTGTGCCGTACTCGTCCACAGAAGCACGATCAGCGATCCAGTTCCGAATCCCCCCGGAAAAGCTTTTCCTCGAAGTGATATCCCATGCAATCATTTTCTCAAGCGAGGAGGCAGCTCCTAATAGGGGAAGTAGTGGAAGTCTCTAAGCGCCAGAGCGACCAGCAAAAGCCGAAACTCTATTTGCGCCGCTCCTTGGAAGTCATGAGAATAGGAGCTGCTCCGAAAACCCATAAAATGCTGCCATGAACGAGTACCAATTCATGACATCCAGTACCTCCTTCGAGTTACCGAGCGACTTATCGACGGCTCCTTGATCGGAACTCCGCGTCGGAGAAACGCGCCTAGATTCGGTGTTCTCAGGGTCGAAAATTCTGTGTATCCACTGAACACAACGACTGTACACGAAGTTGATCTCCGCGGAGCCATTCTCATGGTGCTTCAGCTTGTGATTGTTCAGTAATGGTTCCGAGGGTATCCGATCAGACTTCAGATATTCTCTCGAACCTCTGGTGACAATCATGATGCTCATGATCCTTCTCGTTACTTCCCCATTGTATCGGAAGGCACCTGGGGGCGATAGGCGACGACCGAATAATTTCTTCCTGTCTTCCGCCTTCAAGAGCAAATTCACGCGCAACTTCAACTTCACGAGGAAATGGCGATAGCGACAATGCTCACCCTAGACTCACGGTCACAATAAGTGGTGCGGTGCTCCCTTTGTCGAGCTATATGAGCTGCTTGAGTTTCATCGCGTACTTTTCTAGCGGGGTCATTATGTTCCGATCGTGCTTGAAACCGCTTCCGAAGTAGGTTTCTGTGAAGCGTCTTGGCCTTTGAGACTTATGCAAGACGCCCAGTTCACTTGAATAACCAAACGGCCCTCGCACGCGACAGACGAAGAGCGAAACTTATTTTTCGGACTGACTTGGATGTTTCCATCACGGCGAAGAAAGCCGAGAACTCGAAGGACTTGAATTGAAGAATAATGCTTCGATCATTAAGTTGTCTGTCGCAGTTACATTGCATCTTCGCTCGGAACGCCTCGATCGAACTTTGTTCGGATCCGAGCATGCTGCTATCGATGCAGCGTCGAAAAGTAGCGTCTCCACCTCGAGGCTAGATGGGGCTCGAGCCCCATCCCTAGGTCATTATTTCGTAAGGCTTAAGTATGAGAGCAGGTCGCCATCTGAAATTCCAGTCCCGTACAGATCCAGACCCAGCCCCCCAACAAAAAATTCTGGGTACACCCCTGGCGTCGACGGCTGATGGTATACCTAGCCCGCGGTTCTCCCCGATGAATCTGAGCAATATCGTGCCCCAATGGGAATCTCAAACGCGTATGCCCCTTAGAAAAGCGAGTGTCTAATCTCTCTTACTTGGTGAATCATAATTCATGATGAATGAGTATCGATCCCCGATTTCTCCTATGATGCAGATAAGCAATCATCCTTTTTCTTTTTCACGACATTTCCGGAGTCCTTCCTGATCAGCGAGTATGTGTTTCGCGTACAAATGCCCGTCGAAGGATACTCTTTTCCATCGTTTTTTCACTCCTCGTTCGATAGTATCCCTCGGATATCCGCATGCGAAAGTCGCGAATCCATTGAGGACGCGATATTCCGAGGCGAGAACTCAATCTCTCGCTTCATATGGCATCAGGAATATTTTATTATTTACACAATGTGTACATTCATCAGTGGAGATATATGGCGCGATGCAGTCGGTGTTCCGAAAAGTTTTCGAGCCCGTGAACGACGGCTCGTGGTTCCGATGATGGGAGGGAAGCTCAGCAGAGGCTCTCACCAAATGCAAGTTGGCTACGAAGCGAGCTCGAATTAGATGTCGGCTAAGCCCGGGCCGGAGATGGCTCCTTGTACATTTCAGTTCGGTGGTCCGTCGTCAACAAGCATTAGCTCCCTCAATCGCGGCCGAAGACTCGCAAGAATTCGAAACACCGCCCTGATTCTCAAGCCCTGAGAACTTTTCAGTGCTCATATCCATGACCGTCTTCAACGTATCCGTGAGCCTCCACGTGGGGGTAAATGCCGACCTTGATATATTGCTCTTGAATTCCTTTGTCTTCTACAAAGTGGTGATGGCCCTTGCTGTCGTGGGACACATGGGAAGGGTGCTTCACTTCGACCTTTTGCGAAGAAAAAACGCGGATCATCGTTAGTGGCAGCGTGTCTCGTAGGCAAAAGGCTTTCGATGGTTAGCCGAGCGATAATTCATGGGCACAAGATTTCTATGATTTTCAAGCGAGAATGAGGTTGAGAACGGAAGCCCGCTCGAGATCCGTCATGGAATCCATGCGAAACATTGAAACATATCAGGAATGAGCGCTAACCTTGTAACCAAAATCTCCAGCGACGGCGTAGTGACCTCCGGCCTCGGCCAGAGCAGCCAAACAAGCGAAAATACACAAGACGGCGAGAGCGAAGAACCTCATTTTCCTCTGTTTGGAATAAAGTCCTGAAGTTGCTCTGAATGATCCAAGCTGCCGCTTTTATGCGGCGCGGGGTGAGAGGCGGTTGTAACGGTGAATTCCTATATTCCCACAATTGCAGGTATGGATATCAGCGCGGTGGTGGCGTTTGGCTATTCAGGGCTTTTTGCTTGTGGCCGGCTCGGCTCAGCTCTTGCAGCCGCCGACGCTGCTGCTCGCCATTTACGTTCCATTCTCAAAAACTGAAAACTTCAATGGCGTCGGAGCGGTCAGCGGAATCAGAGAAATACTATTCTGTAACGATACGAAGGATCGCGGAGCGACAAACGGGACCAATTGCCCGTGACCCGTCGTAGTGGAGCGAGAACATACGATGCGCTAATCTCGCTCAGAAAAATGCTTCATATCTCTGGATGGGTGTGACCGAGGTGTCCAACGCCGCGAGCTTGTTGACCACAATGAAGCTTTGGATGCTGTTTCGCAACGAATGACCACTACGCAGCGCTATCCCGACCACCAGCGTCTAATTCCTTTTGTCCGAAAGACCTTGACTCAGAAAAAAACATCGGGTGTTTGCTCCTTTTTTTTTCTTGTGTAAATTCACATGCTTCCAACGCTGCTTTTAACTACATCGCTTTCGGATGTATCAGCTCAAGGCGTCGCCCCACTGAAATATATCACAGAATCGATAGTTCCCGCAGTGGTAGGTTGGCTAAACTGAGCCCAGAGAAGGGACGAGAAGTCTCGCGTGTCATAGACCCATTACGTGAAGAAAAAGACCGATTCTTGTCGTAGTGAAAGTCAATAGCAGGAACCTCGGCATCTCAGATACTCCAGATTGGTAACAATTGAGAGAATATGCATAATTCACTGAAAACTCTTGAAGAACAAACTAGATCAGATAATGAACCGAAGGTTTCTCGGGGGGAAATAGAACCTCGCGGGAATTCTCGATGATCGATTAAGCTCATCCCACATAGACGGAAACCGCTCTAGACATCCTTCGATTCAGCTTACGAGCTCCGCGGGAGCTGAGGGACGAATGATGCTTCCCGGTGATATCTCGACGTCGACCTCATGCTCGCAGCAAGGTCGAGGGATCTGATGAAAGAATCGAATCGCTTCTATTGCATGAACGCGAAGCACGAATTCGCGCTCGGAGTTCTGAATCCCGAGCCTTCTGACCTTTGGAATACATTGACAGTTCTTGCCTCGGTCGATTGGCTTACCCCTGACCCACCCGGTCAACTCTCCACGCCGAGGTACATCCCCAGGACTTGCAGAGCTCGCGCAAGCCTCTGGGACGAGGATGGCCTTCAAAGGGTTGCATCGTTCGTGGATGTGCAGGTTTCTTTCGTGAGCTTCCATGATTGCACGCGGTTCGTCTCCATTCGATCGAGGGCCTTAATTGAACGCAGCGATTGATTATTGACATCGAAGGCCGCGGCAGCAATGAGACATTCCGGGGCCTCATCGTATTCGACATCAGGCTCCTTCTGGCGATTTTCTTATTCCGTCGAGTCGGAGCTCCTCAGAGGAGACGGCGAGCATCGCTCGCATTGCGGCCTGACAGGAGTCCTCGAAGGCATCAACAAGACGAGAGCTAGAGAGTCCGATCAGTAGCGAGACCCAGTTCGAGTTTGACTACGTATGGGCTTCGAAATTCTGGGCCGGACCGATTTTACCCTTATTCGCGCCAGCTATCGAGCTTTCACCGGGACCGGGGCGCTAAACCTCCTGAAGAACCCAGTGAGTAGTTTTCGCATAGTCCAGTACCGCCCTGAGTTGCTCCGCATGGAGATTAAGACACTGAGCACCTGGTATATTTTTGAGGCTTGGAAATCGCGACAACTCTCATTGTTTCTTCTCGGACCAGCGAGGCTGTCGGAGAACGATGTCCATGCGAATGCTGTCACTGGGGTCCCCCGCTCCGAATGAGTCTCGCACGAAGAAGAGCGTTCTGGCGTTACAGTTTCGCGGGGATTAGCCCATTGAGCGATAATTCACATCAAGCTATTTCAAGTGCGGGGTGGAACGTGCCGAATAGCGGGGTCAAACGATTCTAAGAAGTTGGTAGGTACATAACTCTGTGCTGTGACTCATGAAACTTCAGTCTTTGACTTTTTATTTTATCAGCCCCATAAGATGGGGTTTTTGGAGCGCCGAGAATCATATCCCGTAGCCGTAACCATGATGTCTGATTTGGTATTGGTGACCTTTGTCGTGGCCGTGATGTCCGTGAGGATGATGGATCTGAACTCCGTATCGGAAGTGGCCGCCGTGATGACCTCCATATCCGTGGCCTCCACCTGAACCTACGCCAAAGAATTGACCGAAGCCTGTCGCAAATGCAAAAACCGCGAGGATGAGGAACATGATTTCCATGGTGTGGGTTTGATCACCGTCGCTACTGTAATCTGAACAGACTGAGGTGACGAAGGCTTTTCCAAGTGAGAGCGAATCCCCTCGAACCGCGATATCACTATGTCGAACCTTCCCGAAAAACTTCGTTTATATAGTACGTGTGCGAAGGGGAAAAAGCGAAAGTTCACCCAGAATTGCCAGAAGTACCAGTTTCGAGGCGCTCTGCTGACCGACGCGATGGTCCCGCGCCCAGAGGGACAAAAATCATTAGCATCGCTCCGATTGGGCGCAGCAACTGCTTTTTACGGTCGGGAACGACAAGAAGTTCTTGTGTGGCATTTGTTTGTTCACTCTTCGGGTAGGAAATCTTCCGTATCCAAGCAGACAAGTGATACGGGTAAGAACTTCCCGATCCAGTATCTTCGGGGGCGTCTGATCCTACGTTCCGCCCTCCCGGGGAGGAATCCTTCCCGAAACGTTCATGGATGGCGGGCGTCGATTCGTTCCGCGCATCAATTCGCAAATATGATCGTGCAAGGAGCCTTACTCGTTTTGACCAATTTCGCTCAAAACGTACATGCATGCATGCAGACTCGGATATAGTCTGGAGAGACTCCCTTCCTATTCACATGCAGCCCGCCAATCCTCGGGCGAATTCGGGAGCAGGCTATTTAAGGCCCTGCCCTTCAGGAGCTCAATCCATAAATAGTCCGGCCGTCAGCTCAGCAGCAAACGACGGAGTTTGCTGATAAGAGGCGCGAGTCATTACGAGGAGTGAATACTGACGAGCTCGCTATGCCGGCTTGCGTATCGTTGGACGAGAAGGGGTCCCGCGGCTCGCCGTCGGGAGATTTTTCCTTTTGTGTCTTGTCGGAATAGTTTATTGAAAGCCTTCCCTTCGAAAGGAGCGAGATCCTCATGAGAATAAGTGCTTCGTAGCGATTTTCGTAACAATCAGATCCACCAATTCGTTGAGCTCTCTAGTTCCCTGGATTTTGTATATTCTTTGTGCGTCAGCGATTCGGCAACTTGACTGTATGCCCTGCTCCAGATCGATCATGTTCCCTTCAAGAGAAATATGGACGGATGATTCCGGGAGTAATTGTGAGGGGGAAAAATGCGCTCCGAAATTCGATGGACATCAATAGGTGCCGCTTACCCTTGACGATGTCCTCGAGATTTTCACAAACATCAAACGTTATCGCGATTAAAGATGTGCTTTGCTCTGCGACACCGAATAATCTGAAACTCTCAACTATGTTCTTCGATGGCGACAAGCAATAAAGGACCTCGGAATAGATATTCTTGGTTGCAATCTGGCCCGAGGCTCTGTTGGAGACGGCTCTCGAAATTGCTACTTGCAGTTGAAAGACATCGATAATTAGGCCAGGGTTCACGAGGCACACGTTGAGTTCGCCTAAAATAGCCGTCGACCTGAGAGAAGTCCTTGTGCTAAGCATGCGAATATCGATGGGATTCGAGCTACTACGAGTTTGGAGCTGGTCGAATGAATTTGCCGGTCGAACCGCACCGAAATAATTCCCGCCCTCAATATCGTCATCGATTATTGCGTGGTGGAATCAGTGTTTGACGATGCCATCATACACCTGCACACAAACACACACTCACACATACACACATGAGCCCGATACATCGATGTTCCTACCTGACTTGACGAGCTCGAGGAGCTCCTTGGTATTTGAGACGTTCTCAAAGCAATAGCCGTAAGCAGAGACTTCGCCCTCGACGCTGTGCAGTAAGTGGGCTCCCATATTTGTAAATAACTTCCTGCGATCCTTCCCTTATGTATCTGAAACATGAAAGCGCAGCACTAAAAAGGACGTATCGCGATGAAACTCGATTCAATCGTCTCTTGTGACCCGATCTCGCTTATATGTTGTCGTGTTGCCGGCTGAACGAAAGACACAAGCTCCCACGTTTAAATATGTAGCAATAGTTTATTGCGCAGTGTTCGATGACATCCACGACTAACGGACAGTCTGCACGATATCGTCTATCTTGAGAATAGAACGGACGCATTCAGCAGCCAATGAGATGGCCGAAGTTGAAACCAAGAGGGGTTGGAGTACATTCTCATCGAGGATGTTCGTTACGCAGCCTTTGCGGACGTTGATACCGAACGTTTTCTCGCCCTGAGCGTGTTTGTTGCGGAGTTCGGTGACGGTCTGTATTGGATTCAAACCGGCGTTCTCAGCGAGCGTGTACGGAATGATTTCCAGAGCGTCTGCGAATGCACGGTAGCAGTATGAGTGAAGACCCTCGAGCTGTCGAGCACGTTCCGCCAATTTTAGACTCATCTCGATTTCGGGGGCGCCTCCGCCGGCGACGAGAGCTCGTTTTTTCACCAAGCAACGGACCACGCATAGCGCGTCGTGAATAGAACGACCGGCTTCCTCGAGCACCAGCTTGTTCGATCCTCGCAGCAACAGCGATACAGTTCTGCCTGGGTTGGCGATGCCGGTAACTTTAACGAATTTCGAGCTGCCTGTCGTGACCTCTTCGACGAGCTCGGCCGTACCGAGAGCCTCGGGTACGAAGTGGTCCAAGGAAGCGATCGGTCGACAACCGATCGATTTGCACACGAACTCGATGTCTTCACGCTCAATATCCCTGACAACCATTATTTTCATTTTCGCCAAGAAGTGCAGAGCCAAGTCCGACACGGCATCCCTGAGGATAGACTTCTGTATGAGTAGAACGTTGCACCCGGTTTTCTTGACCTGTTTCACAATGTTCAAGAGGTAGGCGCGTTCCTCGCGCAGGACGCGATCCATGGCTGCGTAGTCAGAGACGATCACTTGATGGTCCATGTTCGGTTTCGGTGGAGAGATGCAGAATTGAATCAGGCCGATTTTCGCTTTTTCCATTCGGTGCGGAGCGTTCGGTCCTCCAGCCAATCTCTCAGTGAAAACAAGCCCATCGATGAGCTCGGAGTCCTCGACCGTTCCCCCGAGTTTCTTGATGATCTTGATATCGCGAAGATCGACGTTTGTGTCCTTCGCCGGATCGATCACCCTGAGCACAGCATCCACGGCTATCGGTGCGAGCAGATCACTGTGCTGGGAAACGACTTTCGAGCAGAGTGAGGTCGTCGCGCTCTTGAGCAAGCTTTCTCGATCGCTCAGCTCGACAGGAATGGCGAGACCGTATTCGGGAGAAGAAAGAATATCGACACATTCTTTGGCTGCGGCCTGGAAGCCTTCTGAGATGATTGTCGGGTGGATTCCCCGATGCAGAAGTTTGGACGCCGCGTCGAGTAGGGCTCCGGCGATGACAACGACAGATGTTGTTCCGTCACCGGCTTCGACATCCTGGGCCTTGGAGAGCTCGACGAGCATCTTAGCAGCCGGATGAAGGACTTGCATCTGCTGCAGAATGGTTGCGCCGTCGTTCGTGATCGTAACGTCACCGCTCACCGCCTGGATCATTTTGTCCATCCCTCGGGGTCCCAGCGATGTACGGACGGCATCGCAAACAGCTTTCGCAGCGGCTATGTTCGACTGGCGGACTTGCGCCGGCTTGTCTTTGTCTTGATAAGAGGCGTTGCTATTGCCTCCTGAACGAGCCGCAAGCACGGGAGCGCCCTTCGGTGCCATTTCCTGGAAACGTGGAACATTGAATTCATATGACTTGACCGGCGTCTAGGTCTGGTAGCGTCGAATCTAATGAATCACTCACAGACTTCGCCCCCGGACTCACCTGATCGGAACAAAGATTATACGAACTCGTCAAGTAATTTACCTAGGTAATTGGGCGAATTCGACTCGCTAGCGGACTTCGGCTGTCATTGCGCGCTTCGACAGTCATCGATGTCAGTATTGGTCAAGCATCTAGTCCAATCGATTCAGAAAGGCTCATGGTTTCGCGTAAAACTATCGGATATCTAGAGCCGAATTAGCATCAGCGCAAGCCGCGCGCAGAATGTCGCTCCGAGGAACGCTGTCATTCGACAATCGCAACCCCGGCTGCGATTTGGCGACTACGGTAAGCAGCTCGAATAAGACGTACCTTCTAAATATCTGGGAAGAGACGTTTACTCTTTTGAATCAGGAAAGACTCCTCAGCTAAGCCTTCGATGGAGCTGTGGATCTCGTGTGCACGCCACCGCCGAACCGCCTCGCCTTGATACTATTGCCAAACATGGTATCACAGACGCTCAGGCACAGATCGCGGCTCCCGCGATGAGAGTGGCACAATTTCGAAAAGTGATCGGAACCGGAAGATCATGGTCCTGAGACCACGAGAGTGGCGCCCACGCCGGCCAATGGCAGCTTGGTCGTTCCAATCGCGAACAACGGAATCTCAACAGAAAACACTAAGCACGAGAAGTTGGTGCCTTGCGACGCCCGAAACGCAGGCCAGCTTCGAGAATCTTCTCGGTGGTGCAATGGCGGCGCATGAACGGCCGAAGGATAGCTTCGAAACTCTGGCGCCGGCGGAGCCACCGTCGTCTCAGCGACGGCCGTGGGCCGTGGAGCGCGAAATGGAGGAGAGCTCACAGCCGACAGATTTCTCAAACCGAATAATTTCACGCCGCCTAATATATCTTTCACAGAATACAGATGGAAATATGAATTTGCCACCACACGTTTGATTCTTGCTCTTAACTGCTCCTGCCGATCCGAATAACTTGCCTGCATCTCGGACGATTCAGGGGCGCCACAGCGCTCGGCGCACCCACACCTCGCAGCCTTTCCTTTGGCAATACTTGATTTTCCTACGCTGTATCGCGAACAGGAATGAGATCACCCGACTTGAGGAATGTTTCGCACGGAGCCGCCGCGTCGATTCGTAGCTTCGCGGACCGCCCAACTCCCGAACCGTGCTCTCATACAATCTGGCTCAGAGTCTACGGCAACGATCGGTTCCGGTCTCCGCGCAGAAGGCTGAGATACCGCGATCAATTTCATTCTGTAGGGAAGACACTAACGCTGGAAACAAGGGGATCCTGCCGCCGGTCCGCCTCTAGAAATACGTATCGGGAATTCTCCCCGTCATTCCCTTACAAGCGTCTGTCGCACGCTTCCGAACTCAAGGATTTTGATAAGCGTGTATCTGATTGTCCCCGGAAGGACGCCGTAGCGATACAATTTCATAGAATTTCCGAGGGGAGCCTTCTTTCTCCCACCCATCAGGCTGAAAACCATTGCTCGGAGAGCCACAATCCTCGATTCAAGGTACCAATTCTTACAGTTCCGCGACTCTGCCGGTTACCATTGCGGCGCTGGAGGACAAAGTCAAGATCGATCCAAAAGTGGTCCGTTTCTGCATTCCAATCGGAGCGACAATCAACATGGATGGAACCGCCCTCTACGAAGCTGTCGCTGCCATTTTCATTGCCCAAGTACGCCGGGTGCCTTTGGACGTCGGCAAAGTCATTGCAATCAGGTAAGGTGCCACTCCGCTGCTCCAGATAGGCAGGTTCCGCGCTCCAGAGAATTCCCGGAGTGCGAATCATGCTTATGCGGACCGCCGTGTGAAGTTCCCGATCCTGGCGTCTGGTGTTTCCGCCCAATGAAGGGGTCAATCCCTGTCGGCTTAGTCAGTTTCTATTAACCCATAAGTGCCGCATATCGGATTGTCTCCATTTCGGAAAGGCAAAAAGATCGTCTCCAGTCGAGAGAATAGGTGAGGCCGTCGTGAGCCGAGGGTCTTCTTTCCGAAGCGACCTGGGAGTGGGATCCCTGGCTTTCGAGCCCGGAATGGTTTCATGTACGACATCTGAAAACCCTCTCGAAAACTATTATCGCGCATTGAGCTCATCGGAATTCCTTAGAGAGTGATTCGATGCGCGGGTCGAACGCGCAGAAACACAACGCTGTCCACTCGAAGTCCCAGCTTCAGGAGCGGTGGTCCAATCGGAATCGAGAGGTCTGGGGAGGCCATAGGAATTCGCCTTGACCTAAAAGTTCCTAATTTAATTGCTGTTCGGTCCTCATTCAGCATAATCTCTGAGCATGATCAAATATTTCCTCTCGCAGGCTTGATTCACTTTCTCGGTCGAATTCATTCTCGGGCTCGCCCGGCTCTTATTCCATCATTGTCGGTCGCAAAAAAAACTGACGAGCCTAGCAGCGCTCTGCTTTCACTCATTTGTCGTGTTCCTCGCTCCGGACGAGAGCTCGCTTGGAGTTTCTGAGGGAGTTGAAGGAGCCCTCCTCCCGGCCGGATACGGCGCCGGCGTTCGTGAGCAAGGCATTGGCCGCTGGACAATCTATCCCAGCCCGTCGGCTGGGGAGAGGTTCTGCTTTCCTCTTGCTTTGAAGGAACACTGTCCGAATCGCAACCACCTGCATTACGCAAGAGCTGACTGAGACAGATGCGTTCTGTCATGCATATCGCCAAAGGATTCACCTTTTGCTGCCTGCTTTTTGTTGCCTCAGGGGTGCCCGTTTCAGCATCCCCTTTGAAGAAGGAATCTATCGGACTCTCACCGACGCTAATCGAACAGGATTCGTTCTCCTTGGCTGAAAAAGCTTACCAAAGAAGACGCTACGGTCCCAGAGTTCGCTATCGCGGGCTTGGTGGTGTTATCGATGCGGTCACCGGAGGTGTTCAGAATGTCGTCGGTACGGTGAGCGACGTCAACGACGACGGTTTCTTCGGATTTCGGGGTGGCGTGGGTAACGTGATCGGGAGTGTTCTGCAGCTGGCGAACGTCGCTGTCGATCTCGTGAATTTCATAGTGAATTCCGTCCTCGACGGTAGAGACGTTTTTGCGAGTCGGCGATCTGAATATCCCTTCCTCTACGATCAAGGCTTCGACTGACTAACAGGGACAGTGAAGATGCCGAGCATCCCTCCGCAGACAAATCACACGGAGTATCATCGTATTCATCGCAATAAACTTGTCCGAGCTTCAGGGGTGCGAGGTGACGTCAGGATATCAGAAGCATCTTTTTGGTCTCTAGTGACTGGTGAACTCGCGATGAGTATCGGCCAGATATCCGGGCGCCGCCTGGATTTCACCTGTTGCCTCATGCTGTCTCAGCTTCTAAACGATCCGTCGGCTGAGGCGGTTCCCTTGCGCTCCAACTTCGCCCGGCTCCAGTTTTATGGGATACTCTAGCTCCGATTCTCACGGGCACAGATATATGTTCATACTGGGTGATTTCTTACTACTCTCGGAAACGCTGAGTTTCGGAGCGAAAATGTGCGGACATCATTTTCGGATGTGAATTCGAAAATTAGGTTATCCATCGCGTTTTTTCGCTCAATCCCACCGTTTCCGAATGGAAAAAATGAAAGGATAAGTCCGGAATCTTTCCTCCCATGAGGGAATAACGAGTTCGATGCTTCTTCTCGTGGGCGTCAACCCCGAGAGAGTGGGAAGTATCCTTCATCGATGTAAAATCGAAATGAAGGTAGGTCGTCCGTCGCACTTCCGTCTCTCAATCCAGGCGTTTTCGAGAGAAAGCCGATAAACCAGATTTGTCACCATCCTGTATATAATGGGGCCATCATGATCGTACCCGCTCAGATACACTTTTTGCCCTCTAAGGTCTGTGCCCGACAAGCGTGTGAAAACCCCTCCCGCTGGAATTTCTTTTTTCTCTTCCACAGCATCACAGCTACCGCCGCTAGCATCGGAGCGGCGGGTATTCCTCAAGCCGGATTGGTCACTATGGTCATGGTTCTGAACGCGGTCGGATTGCCAGCGGACGATATAACACTCATCATTGTGGTCGACTGGTTTCTGTAAGTCGAGGAACTCCCGGATTCAGAGGGATTCCAAGCATCGACATCTCGCTTCGAAACATGCATGAATATCGCTGAGCTCTCGAGCTCGGTCTGTGACTCTCCCTCAAGAATCTGCGGATGTCGTTCATAGTGTTGTTTATGCATACACAGCACATTGTCTTCCGCAAATCGGTGACACTGATTCGGATGTTATAAGGAGGAAATGGTCTCCAATGAGACTTCTCTCGCTCACGAGCTCAACAATCATGTCGCGGTCTCATTGATAGTGTGGTCTTTTTGCAGAGACCGTTTCCGCACAGCGATCAATGTCCTCGGAGATGCTGTCGGGGCCACCGTGGTCGAGAAGCTATCTCTTGATGATCTCCGCTCGATGCAAAAACAAGAAAACAAGGGAAGCAAGGACACTGTCATCACGGCCATGTGATTCATCAAGTCTCTTAAATGCCTCGCATAACTCTGTATTACTGAATTCGAATAATGCTGTTAGGTGGCTTCATGTGCGAGGCGCGTTCTCTGACAACGATTATCACCCTATGGATTCCGGATCCGCCGACTACGGTGGCGTTGCCATCTCGACAAGATTCGAGGGGTCGCCGACTCTAGAAGGATGCGCAAGGACTTCTGACAGGACACTCTGTGATTCCGACCTTTGACGAGACATTCATCCAGATTTGACATGCATTCCGCGGATTTTTTTATCTCATCATTGAGCTCATCTGGATGGAAGCTTATTTGGGAACAGATTTATATTCTTTCTCGATTTCCGGTTCGAATGCGTGCAATGGTTTCGCTCTCATATGGCCCATGATCGAGCCGAGTGTGGAGTGTATGTAGGTCTGGGTCAGAACATGAAAATGTCGGAGCATGTTTTCAACGGCAACGCAATCAGATTCGTGGATGTAAATCGAGCCATGGCGAGCGGATTCTCATCGTCTGCCTTCGAGGCATGGATCCGCGCTTGGTCCAGGCTACATGGTCTTTCAGTACGCATTGACAAGCTCTCCACATGGAGGCCGTCAGCGGAACGCTCAATCAGAATGAGCAGAGTCCGAGCCACGATCCTGTATCCCTGATGGGTGTGTGGAAGGATACCACTTATAACCCGCTGAGCATTTGAGGCGCGAGGGCGTTAGTATAGTCCAGAATGGGTCACGAGGTGGCCTCCATAGACTTTCCTTTTTGGAGGGACAGGGAAAGAGTGATCTTCTCGAAAGCAGGTAGCCCATCATGTTAATTTCCTCAAAAGGGTCACAACTGATACCTTTCTACGCCAGGGAATAGAAACATCGCTATTCCAGGCCCTATAAGCTTAAATGCTCGATTCTGGGTCCTTATGAAGGATAATTTGGGAAAATCAGCCTGACGACCCATCCAAATCCCCAGAAAATTTCGACAATGAGGAAATTTGCCACAACAGACCCCATTAGGACTCATTGGAAGGATACGAGCATTCGAAATCGCTGGCTCTCTCAAATTCTTGAGCCGTAGCTCGACAAAACCTCGGAAATCAACCAAATCTTGAGCCCTCTGAGAGAAGCCTCTCCACTCTAAGGAATCGAGTTCATATGTAAGCTGAGCACCTTCAAGGAAACCCTCACAAAAGACAGCGACCCAATGTCGATTTAAATAAAAATATGCAATATCATGTTGTTTGTGTTGGTTTTTACTTTCGTGTGCGGCTGCCGAGCCAGGTCGCGGATATGCCAGTCGAATCGGAATCCGCGTTGAAGTCTATTTACTCAAATCTGTCTATTCAAGTCTCTGTGAGTCGGTCTGAGACTAGTAGTTTCACTCAGTCGTCCGGAAAGAGGGGTGGCGATTTGGATCTCCTAAAAGCTGGCGCGAGAGGATTAAATCGCCGATGAACTCCACTCTCGAGTTGACCAGGAAACGTGCCACTGGAAAAAGCGGATGGAAGTCATGGGCCACACGAAATCGCGCAAGGCTCTGCTCAGCCCTGCTTGGAGGGTCATTTAGCACGACATTCCGGAAATCCTTGCCGATATTTTCTCCTCCTTACCTCCCTCCCGCTTACTCTCGCTGCGCAGTGTCGGGATACAAAACTTCGGGCACAGATCTCGGCGTTTCAAGATACGACAGCTAACCCTATTTATCCTGGACATTCACTCTCACGAGAAAGTTCCGAGTCTGCTCAGTGGTGGGATACCGCGAGCCAGTGGATCCCCTCGCCTGCACGCGACGCGGGTAGCCATGTGGAATATACCGCTCGTTGGGATGCTTCTGGCCGTTCTCCTGAAGTACTTCGAATCTACTTGTTCGCCTCCATGGATCGATTGATCGACGATTCCGATCCTTTCCGGAATCATTAATCATCTTTCCGTTCGAATAGCGTGAGTCAGTGCGCCGCGCCGCTTCTCGGAAGCGTTCGGGACTCGACACTGCATTCATACTTTTTCCGTCTGGTGCTCGACGAGTGAAGCCACCTCTATATGTATGCAAAGTACATATATCGCGAGCGGCCGGGGCAAGCCGTCACTCGAGAAACAGGCCTTCTACCTCTAGGAGGTTTGATGTAAGCAATCGTTGGACATGGCCGGCTCGTGTCCGAGCACGATAGAAATAACTCGATGGGCTGTATAGGCTGACATTCAGATCGCGATGTCGTCTCGTAGAGAGGAAGGATCCGGACAAGTTCGATCGATACGGACGGTCCTTGTGCGGGACTGGTATCAGACAATTTCACGTGCCCATATCGACTTGACCTATGTACTTCAGGTGTGAACCCGTCCTGCCCTCCTGGAACGAAAAGACCCGGAAAAAGCAGGATCATCTTCTCTTGACGCTATCCGTGAGAACGCCGTGCCGATCTGATATGCCCGGACATCTCTTTGGAGGGAAGGGATCGGAGCGGAAGCCGCGCTGGCGCCGTGAACGTTTGCTAGGCCGCTGGTATTCGCTGGCTTCAGACGCCAATCGCGCCCGAAACTGTTCTCACATACATATGTATATTCCCCCCCCCTAGACAATTCTACATCTGATCATGGGATTGAAAGGTATACTACATGGTAGGTATTCTACATACATATACTTTTGTAGACCCCTAGAACCGAATACTTGCTGTTATAGAGACATTTAAGTTCTCCATGAATGGCCAAGCGGGTACACCCGTGTTTCCCTCGATCTTCCATATGACAAGCTTCGTCCAAGCTCATCGAATAGAAAGGCTTCCCCCTCGCGATAATGCCGGTTATACGACAGCTTCAGGAACTCGGAGCGGACGGACGAGACGAAAGCTGCTCAAAAGAGTTGGAAGACAGTCGGATGACGTCGACTCCTCGGAAGAAGTTTCTGTCGCTATTTTGCAAATGCAGGCTGACTCAGAATATTCGCCAAAGTTTCAGTCGCACCCTGCGAGCCTTGACTCGGTGGAGAAACTTTTCGAGAGAGGGTAGCCGTGTTCTACAGTCAACCAAATGGACTTTACCCGGAATGAATCTCCCTACTCGAGCAGCTCACCGCTAAGAGAAATCGGAGCCGCTCTGAAATCTCACGGGTCACTCATGAGTCATGACTAGGGATGTAAATTTTTCGCGGACCGCCATTTTTCCGCGATTTTCGCGGAAACTTCCGTTTACTCCCCATAGAGTTTCAATGGAGGCCGCGAATTTCCGCGAATTTGGCGGAAATTTTCCGCGAAAAATTTGCAAATAGGTCCGAGGAGTTCTAACGCCCCAAGCTCACATATCTATTCCTCGATGAGCTGGAATGTAAACGTACGGGAATCAGGACGCTTGAATGTAATCCGACGCTGATATTCTGTTTCTGAGGGTGATTAGCTTCTGAAGTTCCAGAATTCGACTCTCGCCGCGAGTCTGACTCGATCGAGCGGCTCACGGAGTCATATGAATACGCGCCATGGAGACTTCGACGAAAAAGACAGTCTGACACCCCCTCCTCGAAGCCACGGGATGTCAACCTGGTCACCTCGCTCGGGAGGATTTCTCTCTTTCCGACGCTTCCGACTTCCGACGCAGGGTCCATCGAACTTGCACAAGAGAAGGCAACACGGAACTCAGCGCTTTCCGTCTGGATCAGAGCAATGCTCTCGAGGAACTCGGGAGTGAGTTCCCCATTCACAGTGCGTTCTATGCGGATTTTCCAAGGATATAGGTTCACGAGAGGAGGTCTGCCTCAGACGGAGAGAATGGAGCGTCATCTCTCTGAGAGTTTCACGTTTCTGACTGGATGACTGAAACGAAAAAGCCTGACCTATGCCGATCTTCCTACAGAATTCATCTTCAAACATTCCATCTGCGATAAAATCTCTTCGCATACAGGTGAAGCCAGCGTACACGGGTCTTCCACGCTACGTCCGAAAAGAATTCCACAGGCGAGTCAGACTGTGATTCCCCGGAGCACGGGATTGAGACATGTCCTCCCCGCGACACCTGCATCCCGTGTCCCTAGGGAGCAATTTTCCTGTCATTCAAATCGGGGGTGCTTTCGCGTGGCGATATTCTCGCTGCCGTCTCCGACCAATCCAATCTCACGCGTTTCTGACATTATTCCCTGATGTCGACCAGGAATAATTCTTGTTCTATGCGCGGGGAGGTAGTCTACGGAACCATAAGAATTATTTCCCTCAGCGGGAATATATTGCGCGTGGCTTCATTGTTCCACCATCCAGCCTAATCTCGCTGGTCCGTTGTGACCGCTGTTGCTATCCAAGGACGAAAGACAGACGAGAAAATCAAAGGAAGTTCTTTCACCTGCTGGAAGGTCGGATCATATCGTGGAATTTCCGGATATCTTTGCATCTGGGACGACGACGCATGGAGTCGGGAAACGAAGTCTATGCCGACCAGGCATCTGGCCGACTATTCCTCCGCCACATCCTCCTCTTGCTCGATGTTCCCTCCGACCCGCTGCTGGGCATGTGGGCATGTGGCGTACCGTGACTCGGTGATGCCTGGGGCAGAGTTGCTCGATGTCCCTACTCGGGCCTCGATTTGATGCTCCCTCGAAACGTTTCTGTTCTTCCGGAAGTAATCGTTCCCCGATCCGTATGCCGATCGAATGCGAGATGGAGCTCGATCCTAGGCCTCTCGAATTCCTATCGAGTGTGGCTTTTCGATCTTTGGTGGCCCCTAAATTGTTGTGATCGCGGCGGAAGGCACCCACCACGCCCCTAACGGTGCTGCACGCGAGATACCCGAGATGCCTATCTCGGGTTCTTTTTTCCGTACATGCCGTTCGCGACAAGTGCCTTATATAATTTTCGCAGAATTCCTCCCCTCCCGGATCGGGAAAGCAGGAAGTCGATGTCTCCTTCCATGATCCCCTTGGAGAGCCGTGGAATTGGACGATAATCCTCGAGCAAGTAGGGGAAGAGAGGGAAGGTGCACGCTCTCATCCCTCTAATCTAGTCCGCAATGAAGTGTGAAGAAGATCGCCTGGATCTTG